CCAAAAATAGGTGAGATTAGAGAATGTTCAGACAGGATTTAGAGCAAGGTTGTTGTGAGAAAAATGAGAAAGAGATTAAGACAGAATAATTAAAATTAGTTTCTTTCAATGCTAAGGTTATTCTTGGTTCAATGTGGGAGTTATCAAATTTGAATTTGATAAGCCCTTTTCAAGTAGGATTTTGGGAGTTCCAATGGTTTAAATCTTGAGAAGCATCTGGCTGACCAAATTTTCTTTGGCTGCTTAGTTGTTGGTTGCAGCTGATGAAGTGTTTGGCAGGCTCTATTTTTAATCCCAACTTTTTTTTTGCACAACGGGTTACTAGATAGCCCTTAAATCTAATCCAAAGTCTTACCTCCTTTTATATAGAAGGGATCATGGTTTTAACAAGTAAACTTCAGATGAAATTATTTAATGTACTTTGAATTTAGCTTTGAACATAATTGGTTCTAAAGCTTTGTCCAATATATAGCCTTGCTATGGGAAATCTTTGTTACATTACATGAGATGGAGATTCTTTTTGTCAATAGTTTGGTTGCAATTCCGTGGAAGGCATTTATTGTGAAATTATGTCCAATGGAGGGGTTAGATTTACATTGCAATGAATCTTTTTGTTTTTGATGAATGTTTTTGCCTCTAAATATGTATAGGTGGTGATTGTTCCACTTCTAATGCAGGATGACACAAGTCTTGGTTTTCTATTGCAATTTATAGTTTGCATGTGTTCATACTCCCCTTCAAGTGAATGAATGTCTATTATCTATTGTAAACTTACTCAAATAATTTATAAAACTTGCCTTGGTAATCCTTTGGTGAGTGTGCGCGCAAGTCGTTCACCTGTGATAGTGAACATATAACAAATTAGATTTTTATCTAACATCTCCTTTATAAAGTGTATATCAACTTTAAGAAGCTTAGTATGATTATGTTGCATGGGATGATGTATAAGATTGTTGGCTTACTCACTTTCATGATAGAGCCCTATGGGCATTCCATTTGAATTTTAAATATTGCAATTAGCAGATTCTCATTGCCATAGATTTAAATTTGGCTTCTGCATTAGATCTCACCATTACATTTTATTTACGAAATTACTTTAAAAATGTGCATTATGCTGAAGTTAACTTTTAATTATCAACCCTAGAAGCTATATAACATATATATATGTATGCTTTAATAGTCAAATCTTCTCTTTTTTAAATATAATTTCTTACTCGGGATTATTTTCAAATATTATAAAATTTGGTACACTATGACGTGTTTAAAATTGCATATGAAATGAGTTACTGCATCAACACTATAGGTAATGTCAAATCTTGTAAGGGTAAGTCTTCCCACTAGTGATCGGAAGTTTTTTATACTGTGTTTTGTGGAGCATTTTCAAATTTATGATTAAATTATACAGTGCTCTCGACAGACTTTTATTTCAACTTATCCATCTATTTAAATAGATTTATTAATATATTTTTTTTTTTGTGATATGGAATGAAAATTTTAAGTCTAGAGTATGCTTCAATGCTAAGAAAGTACTTCAACTCACCTATGCCATGTCTTCTTAAAGCAGCTTTTTCTTTACAGTCTCTATTTATTCTAATTTACTATTTATTTTGATGATGTTGTTAGCATAAATTAGTAGTTCAAAGAGTTTCCTTTCACCTAACATTGTGTGTTTCACAAAAAATGTATGGTTTTGATTTTATTTGTATGTCATACTGATCATTACTTTGAGCTTTTTGTTTAAATTCTCCATTCATTTCTAGTCACCATTTTTTTTTTGATGATGTTGTTAGCATTAATTAGTATTATAAAGAGTTTCCTTTCACCTGACATTGTGCGCTACACAAAAAAAATGAATGATTTTGTTTTTATTTATATATTATATTGAGCATTATTTTGGCGAACCTTCCAATCAATGCTTTTAAAGATTTGCTTTAATGCATATAACTCCTTTCTAAATATACACTTCTTTAACTTTTGTATTTGAGCAAACTTTTGGTAGGAAGTGTTATATGTACTTCCTCCAGGTCATCATATGAGAAGAAATTCTTTTCATCAATTTCATTTGTCATTCATTCCCGATTAACTATTAATGGTAAGAGATTTTTGAATTTAATTATTTTAACAATTGAAGTAAATATTTTAAGATAATCTAGCCCATATATTTGAACACAGCCTTTGGCCATTTGTTTGGCTTTATAACTTTCAAGTGAACAATCAAATTTATATTTTATGTAAAGACTCATCTCTATTCTACTATTATTTATATTTTGGTAAATTTTTCAATTCCCCCCACTCCCTCTCTTTTTTTAAAGGGCTTTCATTTCTTTTTGCGGCATTATTCTAGCTCACATTATTTAAAACTTCATGCAATATAAGGACTCATCGAACATGACTTTTTTGTTTCTAGGATAAGTATATGAGTTAAGTCATATGGTATGTAGCTTATAAATCAATGATCTAGGAGCTAAAAATTGAAATTTGTGAGACTTTAAAAGCATAAAAATATTTGTTAATAAACATATAGTGCTGTAAAACAAGTGCCAATTATTGATATTATTTAGGTGCTCTTAGCAAACTTTTCGATCTTTATATGCCTTATAAATGGCCTATTAGTTTATTTTTTTTTTTCCTTTGAGATCTTTTGAAGCAACCTGAAGCAACCATGACCGCATTAGATAGCTCTTCATTTACTCAATATGTTGAATGGATATTTTGCAACTCTCTCTTTGGATATAGATTGCTTCTCTCAATTTCTAGAAGAACTCAAAACCAAGGTTCTGCAGGTATTGTTTTTGTTTTCCATTGATTCTATTTACAGGAAAAAAATATAAAAAATAAATACAATAATGCAGCAATGAATGTTGCAACAATTTGAATAATTTGCGGCAATGCGACCGTGCAAGCTAAAACAATGGGAAATATTAATGGTAATGCACCGATGAAGGATGTAGCTATAGAAAAAGCGGATAAAATGAAGATTGCATAATAGTGGAAGCCGCATTAATGGAAATACATGCAAGAAAAAAAGCTTTTGATACCATGACAAGAATTGTAGAGAGCTTGTCGAGCAATTCATTCCAATATTTTTGAGGTATTTATGGAATCTTACATGGCTTCTAATAAGAAACATATGAAATCAGAAAATAATAATTATAAAATAATTGCAATTGTACCATAGCTTGGTGAGATGGCATTAGACAAGCTAGTTGGGCGAACATCGAGGAGGCTAAATTCATGGGCTGCAAGCATTAACTGTAGGAGAAATCCATGGGTTGGATGGTGGGTCCATTTGGCAGACATTAAGGAGGCAAAATTTATGGCTACCAAAAATGTACAAGTCAAATGAATTATTTTTGTAGTCAGTGACATGCGTTCCCAAGCTCAATACAAACTATATGAAGACCATTTATTTGGTTTATATCTATTTTCATTAATTGCCTTAGCACAAAAATAAAATCCATATTTAATCTTCTTATTATAGAATTAGCTTGATTTTCGCTACTCATACAATCTTTCTAAGCTTGTGTTCTAATATTTTCCTCTTTATTTCATTGAATGACTGATTAAAGTCTCATATCATTATGAAAATATTGAACATCTTCTTTGTGCTTGAATTATATTATGAAAATATTTCTTCTATAATCATTTGATATATTATTTTTGTCTTTAATATTTCATTTTAAAAACTTGTTAACCAAACCACTTTAATATCAGTTGTAGCCCTTCAAATCTCAATTGTAGTTTATTTGAATTGAATGAATTCTTTATGCATCTATTGGTGTGCCAATTTATTCTTTTTTTTGGTATCATTCTAGAATAAAGCTTGTTATTTCTATTCAGAATTATCTTAGAAAACCCTTAAAAACTCTCATTTAATAGTTTCTCAGAGTAATATTTTCATTTTTGCTGTATTCTTTCCCTCTAGTTTTTATTTAGAGCTGAGAATTTATAATCATCACTTTATGTTTCTGAATCGATCAAAAGTCTAGACCCTTTTTCTCTTAGTTAGATCAAAATTTCTTTTGATTTGTCCATGATCGTTTTTGTGCTGCTTTTAATTTTCATATGATCTTTATAAGCATATATTTTTTTTAAGATTATATTTTATTACTCCGCACATCATCATAAAGTTTTTTTTTTTTTTTTGCTTTTGAAATGATAAAAATGCCATCTCCACGCTAGGTTTGGCTAAATTATAAAATTTTGATACGCTGTCTGAATAACCTCAAATATAACTTCTGCTCACCTTTATAGTTTTACCATATTATCCTAACGCATTTATTATTCTCCTTTGATATGTTTTTTGTCCTTCTTATCCTAGCTCTTAACAACTTAAAATTTTAATTTGACTTCTCTTTTATTCTATTATTCACACACACACACACACACACACACACACACACATATATATATATATATATAGATGTTATTTGATTGTTTCTGCAATGTTTTTGTAAGGTCATTTTATCATGCTAATCCTGCTAGTATCTATATTTAATATCCTTTCATAATTATCCTCTTTTTGTTATATACATTGTAATAGTACTTCGTTTATCTCTTATCAAAATTGATCAAATCATTGATCTTTGCATTGAACTTGTGTCTTTTTCTATTTGTGATTCTCATGCTTCTAGTTTTCCTGATTCCTTGATGAAGAAAAGTAACGCAATTCTGTAAGTTAATGAAGCATAATAAGCCTACTTATCCATATGGATTTCCAAGAATATTGGAAAGCAAACTTCTGCATTATATTGGAAATTAATCTTCAACCTACTTATTTAAAAGTAGAAAATCACTTATTATGACAACTGGCTCACAAGGTTTTACCAATGCATTTTATTTAGTTGCAGAAGGAGCTGATCATGCTCTATGCTCGTTTGTGTCTTTTACATCATATTAGTAAACTGTTGTTGGCTTAGCAAATTTTGGCTACATGTTTAGATCTCGCTCAATTTTATCTGCTACACTGGAACGTAAAGATTTATTTCCACTTAAGTTGTTTGGGTTGTCCCCTTGAAATCTTAGGAGAAGTACTCCTTTATCTGATGAACTTCTTGGGAAATATAATTTGAGCAAGCTTTCTTAAATCTATTGCTGGATAAATGACTGCAATTATAGGATCCTCATTGATGTTTGCTGTTATCGTGAGCTCAGCAAAGGCTTATGATAATGATTGGCAACCATTCCAAGTAATACAAGACAATGAGATGTTTTATAGATATGATTGATGTTTCTAACTTATAGTAAACTACTGCTATTATTTATTTATTTTTTTACAGCTTCCATTTTCACTTTTTTCTTTTGTGGTTGCAAGAACAGAATTTTTCAGGCTATGCCCTCAATGGTGTCATTTCTGTACATGTGAATTTTGCCCACCATCACCGCAAGAATGCTGAAAAGCTTGTCTGATATTATGCATGAAGATGATTTTATGGATGAGCATTTCATAGCAAAGAGGATCAAAGTTACTGATGTGGCTGCTGGTAATTTGGAAAAAGAAAAGAAGGGAGAGAAAAATCTGAATATCCATGCAGTAGATGGAAGTGTGAGTAAGCCTACCTTATCAATTGGCCAAACTGGAAGAAGTGATGGCGAAAAACCATATGGAGGCAATGACAAACAGATGCCTGATTCTAAAAAGACATCACAAGATGCAATATCATGCAGTTCCAAAGAAGTTCATGGCCAATTTGTTGACAATTTATGCAAGATAGATGCTGCTGCGGCAGAAGACAAGGGATCCAGGCATGCAATGGAGGATGCTTGGGTTGTTCTTCCTGATGCAAGCTTTGAATATCCTGGGAGATTGAGGTTTTCCGTCTTATTTACGTTACAATTATGCAAACATTTTTCTTTAAAGACAATTTTCAAAATTAGCCACTATTTTACCCCTTCAGTTAGGTAGGTAGTTTAGCACATACCAAAGAGCTTTCATGTTTGTACCTACTTATGAAGCAACCATATGTAGCTAACTAAGTCTAACTACTGTTTTAGCAAAATGTATTGTTGTTGTACCAATCTGAATAGCTATAAGCAAACATTGCATATGGTTCTTGGGTTCTTCCAACATGTACCATAATGTATTATTTTCATTATCCTAATTGAAGAACCATGATTTTAGTCATCTTTATTCTGTGACTTCTTCTTCTTCTATTAGACTTTAAATTTTTTTTTTCTACATTCGCATGTTTAGCTTGAATGTCAAAGGTCACTAAAAAATCGGACCAGCATTTGGTTTGAATCAAGTTTAAATTGAAGTCGATAGGCCTTCTAACAATAATTGGCCAACTCCAACTTGGAGCAAAATTATATAGCGTTGAGTTTAGATCAAATAAAACTAGCTTGAGTGTGGATTGTAATGCATATGCACACATGTCTGAATGCATATACATATTTTTTTGTATTTATTTGGACTTGTATTAATGTGTTTACATGCATCTATGCGTTGACATGTATGAATCTATATATATATGAGTAAGAGTAATGTCGAAACAAAAAATTATGTTATGAGACTGATAATTGGTTGAAATAGGGTTTGTTTTTAGTTCACATTAAAGTTAACACACCATTCTTGCTCGACTCAAAATTGGATTAAGCTATTCTATGACATGAATTAACTCTTCTCGAGATTGGATAGTGCAATCTGGAACTAGGCTCAAGGTCAAATCATTCAACTTTTCTTGTTTTTATTGGATGGGTATATAAATTTTAGAAGATATTTATATTTTTTTAACTACTAAGGCTCTCTTTGCTAAATTTAAGAAGTAAAACATTATAAATTTTACATATTGCTACCTCAATTGTCTGGGGTCCTTTTGTAAGTCCTTGTATTTTGCCTGATAAAAGCATCAGTAATTCTTTATTACCTTGAATGGGCTGTCCGATCTACCATCTGCCCTCACCCGTTGATCTTCACTTGACTTTACAGGAAAGTGTATTGGTTTTCAAATTTGCTTCATGACTTCCATGGCAAAAGCTTTTTGCTGGTGCGTCCCCTTGCATTTCTTCCCAACTGTCATAGATCTTTGTGACCATTTTGTTGCTACTGTGGCTCTCTAAGATGTGGCTAATCAATTGACTGATTTGCGCCTAAGATGATTTCTTACAAAGATTTAGAAATGCGCCATCAAAAAATTTCTTATGTCAGGGCATTATAACTTCTATTAGCTGTTATTGTAACAATCGACTGATTTGCCAATAAATTTTATGCTTAAAATATTTCTTCTGTTGAGCTTTATTTGAAAAACAGTACTGACCGGATATAATGGTAAAGTTTCTTGTAGTTTCTAAGTTATGTTTTGTTTGTTCCTGTTGGGACTATTTAGGAAGATTTTATTTTTAGCATTATTTATTCTTTTTCTTTATTAGAGCTAAGTTTTATTGGTATGTTATAGTTCATGTTTTTTTTTTCTTTTTCATAGGGAGTTATGGCTGATTTATGATTTTCGTAATGTGGGAGTCATCTCCTCTATTTATCTTGTAATCGTTTCCTATGAAGTTGAAGAAAAAGAAGTATCTTTTCCCCTCCTAAAATCACATGGTATCAAAACCCTACCCTAAAAGATCATTGGGAAGGAGACAACCAGATCGCGTCACTTAGAGGAAGGCATCGATCAACGACGATCGTGTAGCGTATTCTCCTCCACCTGTGTATTTATCACGATCTCGTCGTGATTAGAGCTAGTTGCAAAGCGATCCAACCACAATTAAAATTTTCGGCTAAGCAATTCAGTCGCGATTAAAGCTAGCTACAAAGATTGGGATCGCGTATAGATGCAAGGTCGTAATTTTGTCTTGACTGGGAAGACAATGACAAGATCACGAGGTACAAACGTGTGCAGCGAAGTGAACAGACCGCAGAGTCCAGGAGTTCCGCACCGTTTTTGATTAAAAACAACGATCGGGATCTCATCATAAGGGATTTTTGCACTGCTTGCGAAAGAAAGTGAATCAATTGCGTCATATAAGAGTTCTGCGTCATTCTTGGTCACCACATAAAGGAGTTTCACACAATTCTTGATCAATTTTTTCATCTTCTGAGGATAACGCACAAATTAGCAATGTTGATGGGAGTTCACATAAATTCTACCACATCGATCGTTTTCCGTAATTCCTAAACCATCGTACCTTACTCGACAACTCTCTTGATGAGTATATCGGTTAAATATTCTCCTCAGAAATTACTATCTCATCTCATATTTATAAAACTTAATTGACACAATTATCTCGAGTAAGAACAATCTATAAAAATGGAGGTTGATGGGAGAGGCAAAATTGGGGATTTAACTGCAGAAATCCCAAAACCTATTACTGATGATCGGAATCTAAGAAAATGGCAATCCAAAAATTCTTTGGTAACAACATGGCTTATCAATTCTATGAAAATTTTCATAGGAAAGCCGTATCTATTCCTTCTCACTGCTTGAGTTAAGACTTGGAGAATTCTTCGCAATTTTTTTTGTTGGAAACTGAAATTTGAAAATCTAAGAAAAATTACTGTGATGGTACAATGTATTACAATCAGTCAGTAAAATCATGGCAGAAGCTCGTTCAATATTATGATATTGTTTGGGGGTATTCAAATGACCATGCTCGTCATAAGAAAAGAGAGGAAAATGATTGGTCTACATGTTCTAAGTTGGCCTTAATTGGAATTGAGATAAAGTTCGAGGTCAAATCCATTGTAGGAAACCTCTATCCTTAATTCTAGAAGTCTTTTCTGAAGTTAGACATGAATAGTATAGAAAAAAAATATTTTGTACAACACCGATTCATGTGGTAACACTGAATAGGAGAACTCGATTTTTTTCTCAAAAATAGTTGATAATGACAAAGAAGAGCAAAAAAATTATGGTGCAAGTATTGCAAAATATCATTGCACATGAAAGAGACATGTTGGAAACTTCATAGAAAATCAACAAATCGGAAATCAAAATCCAATCATAAAGGTATAACTTATTAAGCTACTGCTGAAGAAATTCAGGAGCAGTCTGCTAACTCGAATGCAATCCCTTTTATTAGGGAGCAATCGGTGTAATTGTAAAGATTATTTCAATACAAAATTATTCCCGACTTCATATTGCTCTTTAGTACAGAAGGATAACTCTCTAACCACTACTTTGCTAAGTGTTATTCGTAATTGTCCTCATTCTTGACTAATTTACTAGTGCAACTGATTATATGACGGGTTATTCTAATTTTTTTTTTCTTCTATAAATCTTGTGTAGGTAATAAAAATGTCAAATTGTCGATAGTTCCCTCTTGGTAATTATTGAAAAAGGAAATGTCAAACTCTACTCATTGTTAACCCTTTGCGCTGTCATTAATGTTCTTAATCTACGTGTATTATGTTCATTTGTAAAATTACTATTGTGTATCAATGCCAAATTAACTTCTATTCTTCTTACTGTGAGTTTCAGGAATTGATCACTGGGTGGATGTTTGACAGTTGTAAGAAAAAATGGACTATTATTTTGAAGATGGACTTGACTTCAATAAACAATGTCAAAATACTAATTTAAAATCTATTTATGTTTCTAAAAATAATGAAATTATATGTTAGGTCATCCTAGTTTTTATTATTTAAAGTAATTATTTCTCAAATTATTTCAGAATAAAAATATGTTGTTTCAATGTGAAGTGTGTTGGTTTGTTAAACATCACCGTGCATCATTTTCTTTGCAAATATACAAATCCACTACACCATTTTACTTTGATTCATAACGATATAAATGATCCTTATAAAACTCTTACATGTTTTGGGAAAAAAAATAGTTTGTGACCTTCACTGATGATTACACTAAGTTAGGTTAAGTTATTTAATAAAATAAAATTTGAAGCAGAAATAATTTTAAAATTTTTTAGCACGAGGTACAAACCCAATTTCAAACAACCATGCAAATATTACAGAGTGATAATAACCTAGAGTATTTCAAAAACACTTTGGATCAATTTTTCTTAAAAAAGAAATAATTCATCAAAGCTCTTGTGTCGATATTCTACAATAAAGTGGGTTAGTTGAAACGAAAAACAAGTACTTATTGGAGTAAGCTCAGGCTTTGTAGTACCAATCAGTTGCCTAAATATCTTTGTGGTGAAGCCGTTCTCACTATACATTATTCATAAATAGAACACCCAATACAGGTTTAAACTTCGAAACAACTTTTGATGTTTTTCAATTTTTTTTTTCCAAAAATTGGCTCTCATCTTCCCTAATTCTAAAGATATTTGGTGTACTGCTTTTCATATCCATAGTCCAAAAAAATTGAACCATGAGCAAAAAAATATATGTTTGTTTGTTATGCTCCTAAATAAAAAGGGTATAAAGTTTTTTATCCTAATTTTTAAAAAATATTTGATGCTATAGATGTCATCTTTTTTTAATTATAGATATTTTTTTCACCTCATCTTCAAGGGAAAGATTAAAACAATGATGTGTCTATTCAATTTTAGTATTTTCTTCAGATTGAAGACTCACAAAATAGTGTATTTCCAATCTTGATTGATCAATCTAAAAACCCAAGTGATATTAAAAGAGAGTACGTCAAATCTTTAAGTTATTGAAATTCCTGCAATGTTATCTCATGATGCTCATAACAACAAAGAAAAATGAAAAAGAATAATGGCAGTGTTATCGTTTGATTTTGTATACTCGCAATAGAGGACAACTCAAAAGAAAAGGTCTACGAATCCTTTGCATTGCTCATAATTCACAAACCTATGTAATGTCCTCACTAATCCTTGAGCTCTTTATCATTCCACTTCATCTTCAAACTCCGAGTTTTCTAGTCCTGAGGCTGAGCGTAGTTTGAATCCTGAGTTTAATGTGTCTAGACTTCCCATTGTGGAAATGACTTACACCCAATATCCATTGTCCTATTATGTATCATATGAAATCCTCTCAACCAATTTTTATGCTTTTACCCCACGATTATTCATATATGGAGTTTCCGAGAACTGTGTAGAATGCTTTAAAAGTCTCCAGTGGAAGGACACTATTTTTGAGGAGATGAAAGCTCTTGAAAAAATTGAGATGTGAAAAGTGGTTGATCTATATCTAGAGGAAAGATAACTGACGGATGAAATGGGTGTTTAAAATCAGGTACATTCTATGGCTCTTTAGAACAACACAAGTTTAGACTAGCTGCTATGAGAATTACTCGGTTCTATGGGATTTATTATTTAGAGGCATTCACTCTAGTTGCAAAACTTAACTTTATAAGGCTACTTCTGTCACTTGCAGTTAATCTTGATTGACCTCTATAATAGTTGAATGTAAATAACGCTTTTCTCAACGCGGACTTATATGAAGAAGTGTCTTTGAATGCTCTTATGGAATTTAATGGAAAGTTTGACACAAAATTGTGTACAACAGTCACCAAGAGCATGGTTTGAGAAGTTTACATTGTTTGTTAAAAGTCAGGAGTATACTCAAGGGCAATGATGTTATATAATATTATTTAGGCATTCAAATGATGGGAAGATAATCATATTGATTATGTATGTGAACGATATAATTCTCATGGAAGATGATATAGATAAAATGAATAAGCTTAAGGCTCCCATTTCATCAGTTTTTGAGACCAAGGACTTGGGATCCTTTAGTTATTTCATTGACATGGAGGTTGATAGATCAAAGAAAAGGTTTGTTATTTTCCAACTGAAGTATTTTCTTGACTTTCTAAAGGAAATTGGATGAGTGGTTGTAGGCTTGAAGACATCCCAGTTGATCCCAATTAAAAACTAGGAGATGAAATGGAAGGTGATCCAGTGAATACAACTCGATATCAAAAGGTGGTGGGAAGATTGATATAGTTATCACATACACGATCAAATATTGTCTTTGTTGTAAGTTTGACAAGTCAATTTATGCATTTGCCTTCTAAGAAACACCTTGAAGCAATTAATAGGATTCTCTACCTTAAAATTACACCAGGTAATAGTTTACTCTTTCAGAAAACCTCACAACAAAATATAGAGGTTTACACCGATGCAAATTGGCCAGACTTAGTTGTTGAAAGGAGATCGACTTCCATATACTATACTCATGTCTTGGGAAATCTGGTTACGTGGGGAAGTGAAAAACATAATGTATTGCAAGTAGTAGTGCCAAGACAGAATATCGAGCTATAACTAATGGAGTATGTGAGATGTTATGGTTGAATGGTATCCTTGAAGAGCCATGAATTCTGATAGACATATCAATGAAGTTGTACTCTGACAATAAATCTATCATAAGCATTGCAAAAAATATTAAAGCATTTGGAGATTGACAGACATTTCATAAAAGAAAAGATTTATTGTGGAGCTATTTGCTTGTCATTTGTTTCTACTGCTCAACAAATAACGAATATCTTTACCACAAGACTGTTCGGGCTTAGTTTTGAGCTCTTTGTAAGCAATTTGGGCATGATAGATATCTTTGCTCCAACTTGAGCGGGGTGTTGGAATTATTTAGGAAGATTTTATTTTTAGTATCGTTTATTATTTTCTTTTATTAGAGCTTAGTTTTATTGGCATGTTATAATTCATGTATCTTTTTTTTTTTAATCATAGGGAATTATAGCTAATTTATGATTTTCCTACTGTGGGAGCTGTCTCCTCTATTTTTCTTGTAATAGTTTCATATGAAATTGAAGAAGAAGAAATATTTTTTCCCCTCCTAAAATCAGAGTTCCCTTTCATTTGGGCATGATAGATATCTTTATAAAAAAATATTCTTTATAAAAAAGATAGTTACTTAAACTTTTCAAAATAGTTTTATCGATATAAAAAAATATTCTTTAGACATTTTTCATTTTTACCTGTGCACCCATTTATGACTTCATCAGCGTATGCACTGAGTTATGGAGCAATTTGCATGTTTATAGGAGAGCATGATTTTTTTGATATATAAAGCACAAAAGAAGCTTAATGATATTACGGCTGAATAGAATGCTTAGTCCTGCTAATTCTTATCTTTTGGTGGTGACTGACTTATGCTGCGCATTGTTACTAATGTTTCTTTTTTGTTTTTATTAGCAAAATTTGTTTTTTGTAGTTATTCTAACTATTACATACTGAGAATCTTGCGTAAGCATAAGTTGTCACCGTCACCCTGCAGCTTCTACTAGATTAGGCTAGAGATGATTCTCTTGTCCAATTATATACACTCTGTATGACTAAAAAAAATGTCATATGAAAAGTGAGCTTGACAAAGTTGATGGAATAACAATTATATGAAATGCTAAGCTTGAAATAATTGGAAGAAAAACAATTACAGAATTTAGCGGAAATCAACTTGTTATTATGTGATTTTGCACAGTGATCAAAAGTTGTGTTATTGCACTTCTGCTTAGAAAAGGTTTTTTTTATAGCATGTGCTTTATGAACTGCATTTGGGACCATCACCATCTCTCTTCACGTATTGCATTAATACAACTGGCACTATCGTCTTATGAAGTTCATTAACATGAAAAAAACAGCTTTCAAAAAGTAGAGGCATGACTCTGAATCAAGTCTTACTGAACATGCTCTACAAAAATCTGTCTTATGAAAAAGTGAGATTGACAAAATTCATGGAAGAACAATTATATGAAATGTTGAGCTTGAAATAGTTGGAAGAAAAACAATTATAGAATTTAGCAGAAACCAACTTGTTATTGTGTGATTTTACACTGTGATCAAAAGTTAGTTTTATAGCACTTCTGCTAGTAAAAACTGTATTTTTATAGCATGCGCATTATGAGCTGAATTTGGAGCCATCACCGTCTCTCTTTCACCTATGGCATTAATACAACTGGCACTATTGTTGTAAGAAGTTCATTAACTTGAAAAAACAGCTTTCAACAAGTAGAAGTATGACTCTGAATCAAGTCATACTTAACATGTTCTACATGTTAGGTGCATCAGAGTTATCTTGCATGTTCTACAAGTTTGGTGCATCAGAGTTATTTTGAGTTTGTATAAAAAATGTAACGTCTTGAATTGCTTTTCATGGCATATTATATATCCATTATGGGAGTATTGGTGGTCTGGTTACATGCTTATATGATCCAGAGCTGGTCATTACATAAAATTACTGTTTTGGGGGTGCAAACATAGGTGGAGCCAGTTTCAAAATTTATTTTGTCTAAAATTTAGTTGAGATATTTAAATAAAAATATTTCATTTTGATGAAACGAGTGTACAAATTATCATGAATTTTTTTAAATTTTTATAATATAGAACTAGTAAATTTTCATGTTGTGTACTTATACTTTATGAGAAAAATTGGAACAATTTTTTCAATTTTTCAAATAAGAGAATTTTTTATAAGTTTGCGCCCCCATTAAAAAAAATTTCTGGCTCTGCCTGAGTGCAACGTTTTATTGAATTCCATGATATTATGTTTATTGACTGTATCATGCTAGAAAACTTGTTTTGCTTTATTCAAATTACCTAGTCTGTCACATTTGCTTGATATCTGGCCTTTTCACCAAATTTTTTCATGAAATAACTCCTCTCTTTCTCTCTCACCCTCTCCCCTCTTTCTCCCCCCTCCCTGTCTTCTTTCCTTTCCTCCCCCTCCCTCACACCCACCCCCCCTTCCCTCAGTTCAGAACTTCTTTTATCTTGAATGGCAACTTTTGGCTAATTTTACGTGGTGCTTGTAGTTATTTTCTCAGTTGACTTGGTTTCATCATTCTTCTTAATATAGCATGCTCAAGTAGACCCTTTACTTTTTTTCTTCTTTTTTAAATCTTAGCGTGGATTCTCTTTTATCTTGAAGTGGGTTGCAGCCTAAACGAGTGAACCTTTTTTTTATCCGTTGTTATTATGTGGTTTGATTATAGGTTTTGTGGAAGAATGGCTATCATATTTTGTGCTGATACCTTCTGCCTCACACTTGGTTATGTACTCTGTTTTTTTGAGCAGTGATACAATAACCACTACAATATAACTTATAAGACAGATGCTCATTAGATTTGTTGCTTTTTAGATGCACATTGCTGATGTTTAATGCACTTATTGTTCATGTTTATTGGTGAGTTGTTCTTGTAGTTGTTTCTCAAAAAGTTTTTGTTTTTTGTAGATGTGCACATTTTGCAATTTATGATGGACATGGTGGTCGTCTTGCAGTGGAGTATGCACGGAAACATTTACATGCAAACGTGCTTTCAGCAGGCTTACCACGTGAGTTGGTCTGTTTGCATATATTTCTTGCAAGAAAGATATAAGTTTTCAGCAATTTAAATTTTTGTCTGTTTATGATGTGATATGTTTTTAAGATGCTAGAAGTTCTAAATTTTAATCCCGTCTAATTTTAGTGAGAAATAGCTGTTTCAACTATGCTTAGGATAAGGGGACATAAATATTCGAATACTACTTTAATTACCTTCTAGCGCATGCAACCCCTTTTTGTTGATGTGAATCTGTTTTGTTGTACTTCTGCATAAACATTAGAATATACCGGTTTTTACAAATATTTGCAATAAACAAGAAAAAAATCGAAGTTCTCTTATTTTTTGAGGATTATTATAGTGCTAGGATCTGGAGGGGTTAGCAGTCATTATAGCCACTATGCATTTATTAAAGAGACGAAGTTCAATTAAGCATAGGAAGTTTTGATAAAATAGTCATTTTGTTGAGAGCCTTAATAGGGTTATTTAGGGCCCGTTTGGTGCAGCTTATTGGGGTGCGGTGATAGTATGAAAACGTCGTACACGTATGTGAAATACGTCCCGCGCAGCTGATTTATGCCGCTCGGACGCACTTAAAAAATTTCGTTAATAGAAGGCGAAGCGGGGAAGAAGCCGCGTCCTGCGTCTGCTTCCCGGTTAGCATGAAGAATTCCTCCGGTGCCTTCTCGCCCTCCCCGATCTAAATGCTCCGTAGGGTTTAGAGTTCTGATTCCTTCGTCTTCTGAATCTTGGGCACGGATGGCCCTCCACCAAATTTTGCTTCCTCTCTTCTCCCTTCTCGAAACCCTAGTTTTCTTCCCCGAAACCCTAGTAGTCTTTCCCTCGCCACACCATTCTCTTATAAACCCATTTCACGACCCAATTCTCTCCCAACCATGGCTTCTCTTAGCATCACTCCGTCTCTTAGAATCTCGGAGACTTTTGTTCGTCTAAAGGAACAGGCAAAGTAAGCTCTAGCATTTCACTCTACGGTATTTAGATGTGAATAGTCGACCGTGGGATTCCCTTTCTTGTATTTCCTGTGCATTTGGTTAATGACTGCAGTTTCATTATATCCTTTCATTTTTATGTAATTCATGTAATTCATTTTATATGTTACGTAATTGTTTCTGGAAAAAAATGTTATGTTGGTCGGCGAAGATAGTGAGAATTTTATGTTTATTAATCATCAGTATCTGTTGTTTTTTGTGTCATTATTTCGATTTGGTTGTATTTTGTTCTTCTGCTTTCAATGGAATTGGAGGATCTTTTAATCTGTATTAAGAGGTTGTTTGGTTCAAAATTGTTTGAATAACAATGTTTTTCGTAACCTTGGTTTAATCTGATATAACTCTGTTGCTCTGTGAGCTGTTTGCCGATGAATGCTTGTTCAAGTCCCTCTATACTTTGCGGTGTTCTGAACTTTGCAAATAGAGAGAAAATGCGATCGGATTTTAGGCATATATGTTGGTGCTTGTTTGCTGAACCATATGTTTTATAAAATTGCATATATGTTGGTGTTTGTTTACCCCAAATGAGGCCAAAGACAATCCACCTTTACCCTCAGATTTTTGGATATTGATGAGCTTGAGTTGATATTCATTACATTGCACAAGTGGCTGCTACATATATGTTTTATAAAAAAAAAAAAGAAAGCTGTGATTCACGTCTTGATAGATTGCTTCTTGTGATAATGGAGCAATTATATTTCTAATTGTTTGGTTCAATTGTATTCTGTTTTTCCATTTTAATATTTTTAATTGTACTTGTAATTGTATTTCTCTTTATTTTATTTCTTCTGATACTCACGAGATAGTGAGCAGTGTTTTTTTTTTTGAACTCATCCGTAACAGTTGGAGACTTTTGTTCTGTGTATTATTTCTCTCATACAGTTCTGTTACAAATGGTTTCACCAAACAAGGGCAGAATTATAATTCATCCAGCAACAATTATCAATAAGCTATTTTAAATAAGCTCTCCCAAACAATAAACCAGCTTATTCTGATAATCTGCTGATTATCAGAATAATTTGCTTATCACCAGATTATAAATAATTAACAACTGCGCCAAACAGACTCTTACTCTATGCTGCAAAATCTTGATAAATTATGTAAAGAAAAAGCTTGACTAATTATGTAAAGTACAGTTACTTACCTACCTAAACATTTAACCGATTCCTACCTTCCCACTCAATAAGGATTAGGGATAGTGAGAAAATAGTGTTTCTATCCAAAATTTTATGGGTGAACAGTCTAATTTACTTCAGGCAGCTTAACTAGGAGAATAAATTAGAAGCGGTACTATTGGATTGGTAATTCTTAATCAATATTCTTGAAATCCTGTGTTATATAGATGAGTTAAAAAAGAATATCAAGTGATTAGAGAATATGGCAAATTGTAATTTTTTTTAAATTTCAATTTTTGTAGATCTATATAACTTTGTTGTATTGTGTTTAGATTATACAGGAATTAAGTTAATGTGTCATACATTAAAATTATGGGAATAATTGAACCTAGGTTAAGACGCGATGCAATGATTTCTCATAATAAATTTGAATTTATGCAGGGCAACTCAACTATGGAAGCCATACATTTATTGAGAGGTTTGATGAAGAAGTACAAAGAGAGTAAGGAGGATCTACATATGGAGGATCTATCTACATATGATTTTTATTGATTTAGAAAAGCTTACGATAAGGTTCCAAGATAAGTATTTTTGGAGAGTTCTAAAAAAGAAAGGCGTTAATATGGCTTATATTCAAGTTATGAAAGTTATGTATACTAGAGCTGTTACTTGTGTTCCTCCATTAGTAATAAGGAATTTTTACACTTGATTGGAATTCGTGGTCTGCCTTCTTGTTCCTCTGTTTGGGATGTTTTTGAAGTGATTTTTTGTTTTTGTTAATCATATTAATCAAAATATGAAAAATCAATCACCGTATTTTAATAAACTTGTGTGCTGTATTAATTGTAATACTTAACGTGATTTAGGAAGATATTATGAGTTTTCTAGCAAAAGGGTAAATCTGAGACGAGCGAGATTTTATATTCTTTCAAATCATAGATTTTGGTCGCACTCAGACATGGTTATCGATTTTCCATATTCCATGGTTGAAGGGGCATAACTTCAAAATTCTTAATTCAGATCCTAGTTTTAAGAAAATATCATGTTATGACGGCGTATAAGGGCAATTTAATCTTTATTAGATTTATTATTAGTTAGTATAAATAGAGCTAATATATTTAGGGTTAGCACTATGCATGAAATTGGGTCTTGTATCTTAGGGTTGGGGTTTGAGAGAGATTTCATTCCTCTCGAATTGTAGTTTGTAGGAGCTTATCTTTATGTATTGGTGTTGTATTGTTTGGTTTTTCTGAAATAAAAATATTTTGTGCCTTAATTTCAGTGAAAAACCTGCTTGGATTATATCAAATGATATAAGAGCATTCAATTCTGGAAATCAACTGAATCGGTGCTTACAGGGTTCCAAATATCGTGATACAATCGTGATCGAGCTAGCTGGGAAGAGACAACAGATCAGATCGCCCAAGGGAAGCCAACGAAGGGATCACGACACCTTTGCGATACAACGTGACGTGATTGCTAGTTGGAAGCCAATGGGATTTTCGACATACAGGGAAGACCGGCGGGATCACGACACGTATGAGCCTTGTGGTTGCATATCGACAAAGACAGGGAAGTAATGATTGCGACATTTCGTAGTCGACGGGATCGCGACATACAGGGAAGTGATGATGAGAGTCAGTGATACGGTCACAAAAAGAGCTACCTGGGAAGGGACGACGGGAGTCAGCGTTGCAATCGATACAATCCTATCGCTTTCCTTTGTGATCTGCTATAGAAGAGGCAGGATCTATCAACAGGAACACTGCTTTCAAAAATTTCAATGTGCAATATACGGTGGGGCTTGTGCTAAAATTCTGCATTGCTAGCAATGTCGTTACCTTCCCTTAGCAATTCATTATCATAAGTCACATCGATTGACCTAACTAGGAAGCAAATAATGGGATGGCAGTGCGTAGAAAATTCACCTGTGTTAGAAATTTTTTTGGGGAGTAATGGAGAAAAAAAAAATAAATGCTCTGGAAGGGAAAAGTCACATCAGATCTGAAATAGAGAAATGTTTTTTAGTAATGGAGGAGCGTTTCTCATCCTTGCAGGGGCGGTTCGAGTGGAGGTTCACGACTTTGGAAGAAATGGTGAAGAAGATCATGAAGTTTAATGTAAAATCGCCTCCGCCTGCAACAGGATTGAATGACGACGTCTTAAGTAGAAATGAGAAGCAACGACTAGAAGGATTCATGAGACATCAAGATAGTGTTGTTGCTTTAGGCAGATCCTAAATTGTGAGATCAGATGAAGGAATTGAGAGCAGACTCGAGCGGAAATCATCTGAAGGAATGGTGTGGCATTAGTACGTCACTATTTTAGGCAGATCCGGAGCCACATGATCGAGCGAAGGAATCGAGAGCTGGATCAATTGACAACGCTTTGAAGGAATAGTGCGACCTCTGAACAATTGGAATGAACTGAAGCAGGAGAGATTAAACGAAGGAATCAGTATCAGATTCGAGCAGCAGCATCTGAAGAGAATTGCACGATATCTGGAGGTTTGGAATGAGAGGCAATAGGTAGAACGAGACAGTGTGCAATTCAGGATCGAAGAAGATCGCTTCAAACAATTTTGGCCTGAAATAGAGAACCAAGGACTCCAGTGGAGGTTTGCATCCAACTGCGTGGATGCCATTTGCGGAAGCACTTTTTGGGTAGAGGGCTATTCAGAAGTAATGATAAGAAGGAAACTTGTAGTGAAGAGCAGAAGAGTTTGTAAGGGATTGATTTTGACATTGCAACGGATTCAGGAGGGAGGGAAGATGGTGGTGTTGCGCGGTGACCTCAGGTTATGTAAAACTTTGGTAATGCTGAAGACTATGATGAGGGTGACTCAAGACACAGGATTGAGATTCTTAATCGTGTGGCATCACATGAAAGAGACTCATGATACAGAGTTGACATAGATTCTGGTAATCGATAAGCTACTGGACGAGTTGTTTGAGGTGGTGGTATTCTCTAGGATTTACTTGAAGTCAGGGAACCATCAGATTTAGATGCGACTGAAAGATGTGCAAATGTCGACATTTCGAGATGGTGAGGGTCAGTACGAGTTTTTGATTAAATGGAAAGGATTGTTTGATGATGATGTAATGTGTTAGCCATACGACCTGATCCAATAATAATTTTTTTTTACCTTGAGGACAAAGTATATTTTTGGGACGGGAGTAATGTTATGATGACGCATAAGGACAATTTAGTCTTTATTAGCCTAAGGGAAATTTAGTCATTTATTATTGGTTAGCATAGATGGGACTAATATATTTAGGGTCAGGGTTATGTATGAGTTTGGGTCTTGTATCTTAGGGTTAGGGTTTGAGAGGGATCATCCACATCTCGAATTGTAGGATTTGGGAGAGATATCCCCACATCTCAAATTATAGGTGTTTATCTTTATGTATCGGTGTTGTGTCATTTGGTGTTTCTGAAATAAAAAAATTTTGTGCCCTAATTTCTGTGAAAAATATGCTTGGATCATATTCTATTATTAGCTGATGCCTCTCTCCCTTGAATAACAGTGGTCTCAAATTCTCTTATTACAGTTAAAGATGGTATTATTTTTATTCTAAATAATTCCTGGTCACGTACAACTTCTTACTCTGATATGAAGATTATTCTCTTTCCTGCGTTTTCTCCTATCAAGAAGGAAATTATTGCTACAACCAATGCAGTTCATTTCAGATCCTTTTTTAATCATAGAATGCTTTCCTAGAATATTCGTTGTTCAGTTATTGAATTCACTTATTATCCGGGAGTCTCAGCTTAGGTAAACCTTAAAATGGAATGTTCTTCTAAATTTTGTTTGGATTAACCGCTGAAATTTCTAGCTCTTTTGAAGTGACCATGGAAAGGAAAATTTTCACTTCGAAGGAAAAAATGTAATTTCTTATAGCATTGTGGATTACACACTCAACCCTTTTACCATGTCAAAATTACTTTTTACTCATTCTACTTTTCCGGCTTTTAGCATTTTTAATCTTTATAAAACTTGCAAGAAATAGTTAGGTAACTCTACCATTCCTCCCTCTTCTTCATCAAATACGTCTCAAATAGAATCCTTGTAGCAGGTGGGAAACTTTGCTTATATATTTTCAGCATGTAGTTTTCTTAGAATTTTATAGTTTTAATTCTTCTGGCTACACTAGTCATTTGATTTGATCTTTCTCTTCAACGATGATTGCATCATGGAATGCTGAATGATTGAATTCTCTCTTTCAAAAAAGTGATGGTCAAAGATGGTACTATCTTTAAAAAAGTTGGCATTATATGCCTTGAAGAATAAATACTCTTCAAGCTTTCTTCTCTTACCTTCATGGCTATTGGCGGCACTAAAATTATAGCTGGAGTTATTTTTTATTCCAAGGGCCAGTCTGGTTGGTTCCTTCATTAGCTGGGATTCCAATTCTGTTGAAGTTCTCTTTTTTATCACTAGTTTCTTTTTTATTCCCATTCTTTTTATATCATTAAAGAGGATTTTAATACTTTATTAACTATGATCTATGCGGTTTTCAGTGATGAGAAAATACTTTTTTAGAATGAACCAAGTTCTATCAGTATCAAGTGGACCTCTAAATAGATCATTTGTTGCGTCAATGATACCATCTGTTTTTATTTGTTTCAATGATACCATTTGTTTCAAACATGGGAAATATTTTATTTGGTTTACATCTGAAGCACACGCATCAGAATGCTTTGAATTTGAGTTCTTATGTGAATATAAGATTGATGGTATTTTGGATTAGTATTGAATTTTCTATTGGGAGAATTGCATGAAATGAGAATATGAATGACAAGTCCCATCATTTATTCTGCCGATGCATGATTCTTTGATTGGCAGCATTCTGTAATATTTAATTATAACTTCCTAAGAGAGGATATACATAATGGTTTCCTTAATATGCCTATTTTGAGACATCCATTCAGATGGTTTTATTTTTAAATGCCGTATTAAACTCACTGATTTTTTAACATTGCAGTTTATTCTCTGTTTTTTACTGTTAGATAAGCTATTATCTTTTTAAGTATTTTATTGAAGTTGCTAGGATTCTTGTTTCAGGGAACAGCATGATTACTAACACAGTGGAGACCAATTATGCATTTCATTGTACTTTTATATGTATTTATGCGTATTTTCCTAGTTTGTGCATGCTTCCTTGCTATATGGATTTTTGTTATGCTTGATTTTGATCAGCCGAATCTGAACTTGTATGCTTTAAATAATGTTTTATTTGGTCATTATAAAATGTTGTTGTAATGCTTCTATGTTTCTACCTGTACAGATGGATGTTAAAGCTGCCAAGAAGGCCATACTTGAAGGTATTTAAATAGCTAAATCTTTATCCTTTATGCATGGTATTTCCCTTTGCAGATTTATCATTTACACGTGATTTTTTGATTATGTTATTCCCTTTAGATATTTAGTTCTCATTCGATTACGGATGTTATTTTATTATCAGTAGTTCCTATCGTTAAATTTAGAACTTCATAAATTCAGCTTCACGCACTGTAATGAAGCTGTTTCCTTTCTTGTTGTACTTAGGCTTTCATTGTTGTTTCTGATGATGGCTGACTGCCGTTTGATTCATTATTTTGTTGTCTTATTTACAGGGTTACTTTTATTGATTTTGCTTTACTTCATCATATGCAGGTTTTCGGAGAACCGATGAATCATTACTTGAAGAAAGTAGTAGAGGTGACAATGCAAATTAAAAATTCTAATTGCAATGTCTTTTATATTCTTTCCATTATCTGTTGTGGATGATTTTTTAGATTTCCCTATTGATCGTTTTATGTGCACATACAATAGTGGTTGACAAGAAAATAGCTTTAGCTGTACATGAAAATAGTTCCCAGAAACTGCTGTATGTAAATGGCTAGTTTCAAATTTTCTGAGTAAGTCTGACTCGTTAGGTCATGTTTGAAACTGTATATACTCCTAATTCAGCAAGGGTGCTACATAGTTTCATCCAGGAAGAAATAATCATATTTTTTTGGTTAATCCGGTGCATGATAATCGCTTTGGAATTTCAGCATAGTTGATTTTTTTGTTGGAAGTTGTTTTTGTCCGTGAAAATATGCTTTTGCATTATTTAGTCAAAAAAAATATAAAAACTATGCATGCATGCATCTATGCTATATAAAAATGAGCCATGCCATCTACAAGTATTGTAGAGAGTTCCTTGTTGTCATCTACATGTAACAAAAAGAAAGAACCACTAAGGGCATGTTTGGCTCAAAAATGAGCGGCATTGTTACATTCGCGAGGCGTATAATAAAACAAAACTTGTTTAAAATTCAAAAGGAAAGCTAACACCGGGGCTATAAGTGGTTGGCTGCGCCATATCTCCTGTGCCATAAAGGAACGGAGAAACTGCTTAATATTTGTGTTGTCCCTTCGATGACGATACCCTTGAGGTTGAACATCCAAGGTTGACAAATCTGATGAAGGAAGTGAACCACCATAATTTCAACACGAGTGCTGTCCCAATGTTGGAATTGTTGTCCAAAGGCGATGATACATTTGCCATGCTCGTCCCGCATGATGGCCCCTATACCAGCGATCCTGAAGGGAAGCAAAACTCCATCAACATTCTTTTTTAGCCACTCGGGAGGAGGGGTTGCCATAAAGAAAAAAGGACCTACCCGGAAATTTGGCTAGCACCCATTGCCCCCAAAATGGGTAAAAGTGAATCTTGGTTAGGGCCTCGATAATTGTCGCAGTGATGATAGTCGGCCTACCATGTGTCCGATTGTAAACCTTAGCATTACTAGCCCCCCAACAATGGTGAATTGCGTAATAGAAGCACTGGGCTGGGGCAATGAGACCCCTTCTGGTAGTGCTGAGATCCTTGACTGCTTCATCAAAAGAGCTGTAAGCGGGTAGAATAAACCCTCACGAGTGCAAAATATCTTTGACCCGAAAAAAAAAGCAAACAATTAGAAATAAGGTGATCCGGGATCTCATCACTAGAGCAGCTCCAAGGGCAAGAAATGCTGTTCGTGAGGCCTTTCCTGGCGAGCCATAGTCTGGCAGGGATGGCATCAAGAAACTGGCGCCACCAAAAGAAACGCTCGCGAGGGTGGAGTTGAAGCTTGCAGAGCCAATCTTGTTTCATCTCAGTTGCTGGGAAATTAGCCTTATAGGCCAGCGAAGTAATGGTTTTACCCGTGCTCAAGGCAATCCTCATGTATGTCCTGGTGGATTTTGAGCTGTGTAATAAGCACTGCCATATCATTGCCAAAGCAAGTAACAAGCACCTGTTGATTCCAGGCGCCATCCGAGAGCTGGTTGGACACCCGCACATTCTCCAGGACATTGGTGTTCGCCTAGTTTAAGATATCAATGACGGCCCCATCAGCAACTTTTCATCTCGAAAAGGGCTGTAAAAACTGGAGGCCTTCACAAATAATCTTCCTGGAAATAGAAGTGCCGTGATTATAACTTTGGACCAAAAAATGGAGCTTATAGTATCTTTCAAGACATTTATGGAGAACAGATTCCTTATCCTGCAAAAAATTCCAAGCAATGCGCGCCCTTAAGGACCCCCTTCCAATTTTTGGACGCATGGAAGTTGTTTTTGTCGGGCTAAACCAGGTCATCAGTCCTTAGGTGCCTATCATATTACTCTGTTTAACTTAGGATTACACTTTTACCTTGCTAAGAGGAGTTTATTATAACAGGCCCATTATATTTAATTATAGGTTATATGACCCATTTCAGAATGAACTTTAATTCTGTTAGGTCATACAGAAAATTTGAAGAAAATAGTTCTTTTAAGATTTCCCTCTAGGGTATGGACATTGATTTAAAGCTTCTAAAAATAACGTGCTTTCCATTTGGGAAAGATCACTATTTATTCTCATTTCTAGTGTTGTCTTTGCTGATAATACATCTTCCTAAGTTTGAGTCGGGGTTTAACTCTAATAGTCTTATGACTTGCCTTTAGGTTTGTATGTGAGCTAAGCTGGCTTGAACGGTTTGTTAATGAGCTTGTGAGTTGAGCTTATTGAGCGCCAAGCTTAAATCATAGCTTGTATAATATATGAGTTCGAGCTGAACTTGAAAATTCTAGACTCATATTGGTTAAAAAAGTTTCATTTATTGTTTTTTGTAATCGTGAGTCCTTTAGTCGACTACTTGATTTAGGGCAACGAAATTAATTATTGCGTCCTCTTCTTTAAACTCCGCTTATCTCATCGCGACTTCCTCTTCTTCTTTAAACACCGCTTATCTCATCACGAATTTCTCTTCTGAGGTTGGAGCGGCAGAGGATGTCAAAGCAAGAGGCGTCACGGGAATAGGAGACGGCGCAGGAGTGCCCAGACCCGCACTAGTGCGCCTTGATCGTGCGGACTCAACTTGATCCAGGCAGAATCGGGATTGAGTGGACTTCTCTAGAGCACGGTTCCCTCCTATTTTAAGTTGGGCCCACTCCTCTTTACCCTAACACTATGTATGTGTTCTTTCTTGTGTTTAGGTTAGCTTTAGTTTAGATTTATGTCAGGACAACCGTTGATGTTCATATTTTCTCTTCTAGGACTATCCGCCTACAAGTGATGCACCGGTTGTATCTTGTCCGAGATGGTGATTATCCTCGACCTTCCTGCTCCCCAGCTACCTTCTCGCCGCCTCCGTCACCATCACCGTACTTGCTGCAACTATATAAAAAAAAACCACATTATTATTTTCCTGCAATTGTCTACCGCCTCTCTTCCCCTCATAAATTGTTGTCCCCTTGCCGCCAACCCTTCTTCTTGCTGTTGTCATCCCGAGGACAGCCCACACGCGCTGCCTTTCCTCGATTCCAGCCCTCCTTGTTGCTGCTGCACCCTCTTGCAATACCCCACCCAATTCCGGCTTGCCGCCTCCAACCACCCTCCCCTCGTCGCCGTTAAGCCTCTCTACCATCTCCCTCTCTCCTTTTCCACTATCTCGGCACATAGTCCACCACCGTCGATCCTCGACCTTGGGGGTCTTTTGTGTTTGTGTTGTTGTTTGCTTATTTCAAGAGTCTTTCTTTTTAATCCCTTTTGAATATCAGCAACAATATTTGCATTTTTATTGTGATTTGGGTTAACTCCGGTATTTTCTCCTTCAAATGTTGTTGCTCATGTTATGATCTCCTTTTCTTCTTCTTCTTCAAATGTCATTGATGTTGACAATGCCTTCTCCAACAAGTTTTCATTGGAACTTGCAACTTTCTAGTAACCATTGATAGGAGCTCCCACTAGTGACAAATCTTGATGTTTTACCAGCAACCTCGAGATTGCTATTACAGGCGAGCTGAAATTCTAGCTCTCAACACAGAGCTCGACTCAAACTTGAGGGGCTTGACTTTGAGCCTTTTTTAAGACCGACGAACTAAACTCTAGTTGTTATGACTCGAGCCTTACTAAGGTTCATTTACATCATTTCTTATCTCCACTCACAGTAGCGTTGGTCTATACAAATTATTTGAAAATATTATTAGCTAGGGTACTTCTATGATTTCTATCATTTTAGGCTTTGTAGATCTATCTCTATCATTATAGGCTTTGTAGATCTATTCTGGAGTTTTGGTATTTTTTTCACAACTATATCTCCATGCATTTTTGTTGGCATAAATGGTGGCGAGCTTGACAATCCGTGTTATGTCATACTTAGGCCTTATGGCATGAAAATTCCTCTCAAATTTATTGGGAAATAATTTTTTGCAGTTTGTAGGATATCTTCTTTTATTTCCAATGTGCTTAGTAGTTTTCATTGGTAGAAATTCCCAATTGTACTGTAGAATCATTGAAATTTATACAAAAATTCAAATCATTTCTCCTCTCTTTATTTTTCATTATTATGAGGCATTCAAGACAACATATTCTATAATTTGAAGTTCATATACTATGTTACTACTGTAGGTAATTGGCAAGATGGTGCAACAGCAGTTTGTGCTTGGATCTTGGGGCAAACAGTAAGTATTTGCAGTCATATATTTTTACTTTCTATCTTTACTAGGCTATTTGAAAGTTTGTAGCACCTTTGTTCCCTATTACTTTTAGTACCTCGAAAACCTTGTACTCTATTTGGTATGTCTAATCGGTTCTTCAATGGATGAGCGTCTTGAAATTACATGTCAACAGCACATCAGGTAAGCAGAAATAACTTCAATTTTTTATGCATAAATATTTTAAAGCCATTTTAATCATCATTAGTCTATGGCTTTAAATTGATTTGGAGTGTTCATGTATCATTTTATATGATTAAACCCTAAACCCTAAAACCCTGAACCTTCTATACTTTCAATTATCATCTTTGTAGAATTTTAGGATTATCATATAGTTTGCTTATTGCTGGTCATATGCTTCATCTTGTATTCTTTTAACATTGCTCATCAGCTTCCACTGTGTTGCCTATCATTGGCTATTTACTTGGCTAAACTTCATCTAGGTTTTAGTAGCGAATATTGGAGATGCTAAGGCGGTCTTAGCACGAGCTATATCTGATGATACAGATTTGAAGTCCATTGTTTTGACACGAGAGCACAAAGCCTTTTACCCACAAGAACGTGCCCGAATTCAAAAAGTATGATTTCTAGTTCTTGGAAAATGCATTCCTTTTTGTTCTACTTTGTTCATCCTAGTCACATATAATTCCCTTATCTATTGAAATTAATTGTTTGCATTTTTCTTTTAAATAAATTTAAGAAATTTGATGATATGCATAGGCTGGAGGTACTGTGGGTGCGAATGGTCGTTTGCAAGGTCGCATTGAGGTTTCAAGAGCTTTTGGTGATCGACATTTTAAAAAGGTTACCTTTGTCTTTCATAATCCTAAGCTGCCTTTTCTTGGAAATTTTATTCTGTGCTATTGATTTGAATTATCAATATTGTATTATTCCCTTCCAGCATTCTTGACTTCTAAAATCAAACATGCTAGGTACTTTAATGAACCTTGACTTTGACTTGCTATCATGAATAATTTTGGAATTCCCGTATTGGCTTTCTTGTGTGGTTTTTTTCTTTTCTCTGCTCGTCTCTCATATTATCCAAACAATTTGAACTATGCATAACAACTATGCAATCCAAAGAAAAGCTAAATTTATGGTTCTGAATGCTGCTTGCAGACAATTTACGTTAAAAAAAAAGGAAACGAAGTACTGGTGCTGGGTTGATGGGTACAATATGCAGCTTAGAAGATGGAAAACCAATTAGTAGAAGAAGAGTGTGAGTTTGATTGATAGTTTGTAGATGGAAGGGTTTTGGAGGAGGAGATGAATTAATGTAGAGATCTATAAGCTAGTTGTCTCTTGCAATGTTAATCTTCTTAGAAGATCAGAAAAGTATCACAAAAACCCATAAGGCTATGATGTGATGGTTGTAGTAATGTAAAGGAGTCAAATAAGGTAGAGCGATTAATTTACCAAATTTGAACTGCTGAAGTTCAATTTTACAAATTTGAGTTGGCTGACAAGCCAGCTTTTTTTATTATGAAAGGGAAAAATAATTTTGATTCATACATTTATCATGATAAAATGATAAAAAATGATTAATTAGATAAATAATAAAAAAATATTTAATTTGAGATAATGGGTATAATTTATATATATATATTTAAATTTTGTATTTAAAATCTTTACTTCTAATTTATTTTGAGTGTTTTATTACCAATATTTTTTTTAAATGAGTAGGCTCGCAAGCTAACAAGTTAAGTCTAGGTTGGCTTTGCTTGGCTTATTAGCTCTTTGAGCTTGGCTCACAAAGTGAGTCAAGCCGAAACTACCTCGTGTCAGCTTGACTTATCGCCCCCTTAGCTGGTTAAAATTTCAATGGAAAAACAATATTCTTCTTTCAATCAGATTTAAATGTGGGTTCAAAGGTGTTTTGAAGGAAAAAATAATAATATTTAGTCTAAATCAAACTATTTGAAACAACAACAATGTCATGAATAGAAATTTTGTGAAATGATTTCGTTTTTCAATGCGAGTTAGTTGAAGAAAATCACATAAGATAGTTAAATAAAGTATTGCTTTTATAGGAATAACATGGTTTGGAGAATTAGTTAATATCCCTGATGTACTACTTATCGAGAAAAATCCTAAGCACAATAAAAGACACAATTACCCACAACACAAGTACTATTTTTATGACAATTCGAAGATACTAATTTCAGGTCTAATAATATATTTTTGTGGGGTAGCAATGGTGACAAATATTAACTCAATGGACTCCAACTCTCCCATGGCGAACTCACCTCTAGAGAGTGCAACCCCTACTATTTTTTAAAAGATTTTAAGCATGCAAACTACCATCTATGAGTTGCTTTGATCTCTCAGTCATGACCATAAAATTTTCATTTTATATCATAAGCATATTCATTGTACATTCATCACTTTTTCTTCTAGCATTCCTCAGATTTTAATAGCATTCCAATAACATCAAATTCATTTGCACGCTCATTCATATTTCATCATGACAAGATCATAGATGCTGCTGGTATAGATTCATTATTCATACTAATGGAAAGAGAACTATAAGAACAATTGCATACCTTAGGATTATACTATATATAACGCTACTAAGGATTTACGAAGTTCCACTTTACAAATTACAATAGTCATGAAGATAACTATATCTGCTTAAATCTAGACGCCTCTTTGTTCTTGCTTGATGTTTGACCTATATAATCCAAGGCAACCTCTGCACTGCAGGGCCATTGAAGCACTTATCAATTTTTTCTACAGGACATCTTAGGTTTATATAATAGTTCATAACGATTGAAATCAAAACACTCAGGCATATCTGACAGTTTCCTCATTAATTGCTACTTGTGTTCGCGTGAAGCCTATACAAGTCATTTTTAACCAATAACCTATGCCAAAATAGGTTCCGGTTACCATAAGGCATGCTTCCTCTATGGAATCCACTAATCATGCCAAAGCACTCGCTTCCTGAATATCTTAGCCTTCAATCCTCACTACATTTACGAACTTCTCAACTAGCTCCCACACCACTCATGTTTGATGAAAATTGCCTTATCAGTGGTTCTTATCCTCTTGCTCTATTACTAATAATGCATGGGGTGTACTACGAACTTTCTTGGCATACATGCCAGAGGAAAATAAAAATCAAACTTCAGGTCCATTCTCTCATTAGACCACTCTTCTTTATAATGTAGAAATAATAACCAATAATTATTTAGCGTATTATAGATCTATAATTTTATTTATATTTAGAGTAAAATCAAGTCTTAGTTTACCTTTTATTGTTCCTCAAAAGTCGTGCGAACTTGTATTGTTCAAGCATTCTTCAAGGACTTTTTTAGCAGCAGGGATGGGGGTGTAGGAAAATTTAAATAATTGTAGATGTAGAAATTGGCAGAAAAAGCAAGATGAAGATACAATAGCAGCAGGTTGAAGGCGCCACAACAACTAGTGGAAGGCATGCTATCTGCAGCAGAAGCTATTCCATGATTCCAAACTATTTTACCATGAAGATGTCTATCTTGTATGCATGGATTTGCGCCTATCTGAATGTTTCTGCATGTATAAGGGTGACCTACATGTTTAGTGTGATTAATCATAGTGTGATTAATCATGCAGGTTGGAGTCATTGCCTCTCCCGATGTACATTCATTTGAACTTACTGAAAGGGAGCACTTCATCATTCTTGGTTGTGATGGATTGTGGGGTGTAAGTCATATATTCTTTCAGTAAACATCATTTTATGATGCGGTGGATGCATGTTTAGCTTAATATAACAAATCAATATTGTTGAAACATCCAGGTATTTGGGCCGAGTGATGCGGTTGATTTTGTTCAGGAACAGCTAAAGGTAAATTTCCTAATGAAAGTTTGTAAAACCTTAGATGTATCTTTATGCACTTGCAGATAACCACATGGCATAACACATTCAGTTAAAGCAAGGGCACATTATTCATATCAGGAAAATGGCATTTTGGGGATTTGTAAAATTGTCCTTTTTTTTTCACAGGTTTTAACCATTTTGAAATACATATCCTAAATTTCTTGAATTCAGTATTAAATTTGTCGAGCATTTTTGATAGCTTGGACATTTGTTGAATTTGGCGTCCACTGTCTGCATTGGGAAAATCTCTTTTCAAATTTGACAAATCTAATCTCACACTGTATGCTATGCATCATAGCAAAATAAATATAGATAAATCAAACTAAACAAATATATGTTAACTAGATAATTAAATGTATAAAAATAATTTATTTGTGAGTGAAGTAATTAATCATGCGAATGGTAAATCTATTCAATCACAAAACTCAGTGTATAAATAATACCTTCAAAATTTACTAGAATTTAGAGCACAAGTATAAAGGTAACTATAACACACGTAAATGAATATTCAACATTTGAATCACCACATTATCTTGTTGAGCGAGGTCTATTTAATTACTTAAACTATTATGAGAATGCAAATGATACAATACTAAGTGCGATTAATGCAAAGATAATTTTACAACATTAACATAATGATCTTGGCATTTAATCACACAAACATGTAATGTACTTCAAGCACAACGAAAAGTAAATGTAGCTATAAAGAAATCGGACATAATATATTTATGTGATTCAGCCGAACCCAGCCTACATTCACGGTGAAGCAGTCCTTTGCTCGGGACTCCAGTAGCAATTATCCTCCATCTTCAAGCTGATGGAGAAAATGTACATGTTTCTTCACAGGGGAGGAGCATCGGCATCTTGTTTATTGACACGGCCGCCTCTATATGCCAACTCTTAGCGATACGAGGAACACTTGAAAGCTTGTGTGGGGATGTATACTTAATAATTTCTTGAAATGACAACATTTTAGCTTTTAATGTTTTAAAAATTTTAATTTAAAAATTTGAGTGGAATTATTCTCTTAGAAAGGCCAGCATTAAGGGAGTATTTATAGAATAGTGTAAATGTAAATAGGATGCCCCCAAAGGAGCATTTCCTAGTGGTCTAATGTGGCAAAAAACTACAAAAACTAGGTGTGATGGACATTTTGAGGCTGGCAATTACCTGCTGTGACTCGCAAATCTGTAGATGTAAAACCCATGCAGATCATTAGTAGCAATCCAAAAAAAAAGCTTTATGGTGTCATGCAAATAAATGGCTTAGCAGTGGCATCTAAGTACTACATTTTAAAATTTACTTTATAATGAATTTATTTCAAATAATTATTTAACTTCAAATACTTTTTTTTTTCTTTTCTACTGTATTCATCATATTCATCTTCCTTGAGATATTTAGAACAAGCCTGTCACTCAATCAAAGAATTAAGCATCTAGATATGCATTAAGCTGACTTAGAAGTTTCTATTTTGTATTCAGAGTTCTTGTTTTTTTTTCTAGTAAATAGAACTATAAAATATTTCACTGAGAACTTCAGCTACCGTTTTCCAGGAAACATCATCTGCTGCCGCTGCAGCTCGCCGCCTTGTAAGAGAAGCCATTCGTGAGCGGCACTGTAAGGATAATTGCACGGCCATTGTTATCGTCTTCAAGCACAAATGAGGCCCCCATCTTGAAATCCCTTTTTGCACAAGCATTGCTTTTCTTCTACATAAACCTTTTGTGAAGATGAAGAAGGTTGTTTTTAGTTAAACCTGTTACATACCCTTTTTCTTTGTTCACACTTTGGTTTTATGCTTTTCCCTCTTATTTTTGTCTTAGAATGTTGCTATGGGATTTTCTTATGGTTGGAAATATTTTCTCATATGAGTGAAATACATGTATGATTAAATTTGCAATTAGCTATTCCCAAGCTCAGAACATTCTATCTTAAGCTAATTATTTTCTTTCTTCTTTATGGGGATTTTGATAGTTTAAATACATTTAACTGCGTTGAGTATGAATTAAACAAGATTCACTGATCCAGCTCTCTTAAAAGAAAGGTCGAGTCAGGATTTTTTTAATTAAAATGCTGGATGATGAATTTTAAAATATTTGAATTTATTTTTATACATAAAATATGGTATTTTATTGTTTTTTTTAAATAATTTTGATTTGAATAAAAAGTTGTTCAAGAAAACAATATCTTATATCAAACTTCTTTTATTTCATAATTTTCTCAGAAATATTTGCTGTACATCTAAATGAAAGAGGATGGCAAAAAGCTGAACGATGTTTAAACAAACTCTGAATGTCTCAGGTTAGAAAATGTTTTTGGCAATCATTGAAATTCATCAAGTTTTGGGAAAAAAACAAAAGAAAAATCGAGCATTAGATTACTTGTTATAATATGGTGTTCGGTGAAAAACCGCCACTTAAAAAGCCGTAGCTTTAGATGTGGTGTTGCATCTCCAATTAAACTGAACATATGAACATTAATATTAAACATTTTGTTCTGGATGTAATATAGAAGCTTACAGATGATTGATTTTTTTATCATAAAAATAGACCAATCCTGTTGATAATTCTGCCATCAACAAGAAAACAATATGCAGGCTGCCATCTCAGCATTCATTTCTTCTAAAAACTCCAAAAAAATATGAACTTAAAATCATTCATTTTATAGATAATCGATCAATGTTTTTATGAAGACGAATACAGCCGAGTTGGCATTTTATTTCTAAGCAAATTAAAATGCAGAACTATCAATTCCCTTATAACATAATTAATAATAGCAGAAGCCAAAAAAGAGTCTAAAAACTAAACTTAACACTAAGCCGTGTAGAAAACTAAACCGCTCGAGCTGAGCATTCAGCATAAATAAAATTAGAACATCTTATTTATTATCATGTTTCAGAGTGGCCTCGTCTTCCTTCCTGAAGCCCTGCCACAAAGAAGAGCATTCTTGGGGATGGGATACTCATCTCTCCATGAGTTGGCAGGAGAGTATACTCTGAGATAGAATTGCTGTCCCAGGTACTGTCTCGCCCAATTCTCCGACCTAATGTTCCACATCCCTACATTGTCCAGTGGCATGTACACTGCACTCCATGATTTTGGGTACACCTGTAAAAATCACAACTTTCTTTTACCCAAAAATGTCATTTTAATCCCCCAAATCTTTCAATACGGAGTGAAAGATGAGTCAATACCTGCACAGTGCAGCGAGAAACTGCATCTCTAAGATTGTAACCCTTTCTGCTTGCAGAAGACCATTGCCCACCATCCATTCTATCAATTCCATAACAGAAAAAAACAATCAATTACTCCTAACAAAAAAAAAAAGCCAGAATTTTATGCTGTTTTAGTTTTGGGTTTCTTCACATCCTTACCCAACAACCCAGAAGGCATAACCATCAATGTGCCATGACTGAACCACATCTTCGTAGTTCTCAAAAACAATCTCGACGTAATCACGAAAATTCGCTGCCATTACGGATGTCTGAAGATACATGCCGCCAAAGCTCGGGTTATCAGGAATGCTTCCCAGTGAGAAAACACCTCCAATTTTATAGTAATCAGCAATCTTCAGTGGTGTATCAGGTGGATTAAAAGATACACTGTTAACACCATATCTCTGCTTCCCATTAATAAACGCTGCAGAATTTGCAAGCCTGATAGTTCTCGTGGTGTTGATCAGCCCATAGTGGTATGAGCCCTGTGGATTAGGTCTCGGCCCGCTCGCTGTCAAATTCCACCTGATTTTTAATAGAGGTAATGAGTTTAAAAAATGTATAATAGCCAAAATTGAACTAAAAATACAGGTGATGAGCACACCTGATAGATCGAGCCTGGTTCAGCGACCAATCAATCTGAATGGTCGGGCCACCGGGTGGAGGATCTACAGGTTTCCCTGCCGAGTTGCTATAATGAAGTATGGCGGTTGTAGTGAGGACGGGGTTGGTAAACCGAGTCGAAGAAACAATGTAATAGTCACTGGGGGGCTGATTCGCAGTTACGAGAACAGAGTAAGATTGGCCGAGACATACATCCAGCGAAGAGTAGGTATTCTGCAGTGTGTGCGATCCTTCTACTTCAACTAATAACATGGTGTGCCCCTGAAACCTTACATTGACGCAGTTCATTAGTCCCACATTGGATATTCTGAACCTGTATGTTTTGCCTGAAGAAACATGAGGAAGTTTAAAACTTAAACGGGAATTGATAGGATACAATATTCTTTAATTCTTGTATTAAATCAATAAAATAATTAATTAGTTAGCTAATAATAATTAGTAATCTTGTAATTCTATAAATAGCTCTATTTGGAGTACATTGAGGAATAAAAGCCTCGCAAGCTTCTAAAAACTCTTTTCTGTGTTTCTTCTTTTCCCCACTTCCTAATCCTGGAGTTGGCCCGCACCATTGAATTGTCTTTTATCCTTATTAACTAATTAATTATGATTATTAATCTAGTACAAGAACTAGTGAATATTGTATCATATCAGGAATCATGCTTTCCAGGAAGATGATACAAGGGGACCAATTCAAACAATGATTTTTGATATCAAAGAAACATACCTTGCTCTACAGTAAATGTGTTGCCGTTCGAACCGCGCCCATTTATAAGCAAACTATCAGGAAATGGGATCATATGGCCATTATCTAGTGTTGTTTTTAGGTCCTGAAAGATAAAGCATGGTGATGGTGATGGTGATGAGAATATGAATATCAAAATTAAAATATTCAAATAGGTAAATTTGTAATTATCAGAAAAGGGGGTTTTCTTACAGTGTGGTTAGCCTTGTACCAGTCACCTACCAAAAAGGTGAAATCACCGGCCGGAGGATCGAATGGAACGGGAATGAGGGGACGGCTAAGGATCCTAATGCCACCGAAGCCGCCGGCAGCCTTATGAAAAGCGAGAGAGGGAAAGTAAAAGTAGCTGCCAATCTGGTCCTTCACTTGCAAAATGTATGTGAAGTTTCTCCCTGGTGGAATTGGGCAGTTGGTGCCATAAACTCCATCCTGCCATGAATTCCTCCTCTGCAGCAAGCCGTTCCTTCAATAAACTCCATACTTACAAAATTATTTTAAAAATCCATTTCTTTGATATTTAAAAAGTACAAAAAACATAAAAATTGGAGTAAAAAAAACATTTCTATACATTATACAACAATTTCTTTTAAAAGAAATGCTCTTTGATTCTCTTTTGACCTATCAAATATAAATTTAAATTAAATTAAGTTTAATGATTTAAAATTGAATAAAAACTTCACTATTTATGTCATATTATAAAATAAAGGAGCATTTGCATACAAACCATGCAATTTCTATGTATTTACATATCTAACACCTAAACTCTACTATTTTAAATTTAAACCACCCAAATGACATACAAATGATAGCAAATCACACTTTTTTCATACATAGGTAAGGTTTTTGGTGTTAGATGTGTAAATATATAGGGATTGAGTGGCATGCATGTAAATCTTCGCATTTACATACATAGCACACAATTCTTATTTATTTACAGACACCCCCCCCCCAAACACCCCTTCTCTCTCTCTCTCTCTCTCTCTCTCTCTCTGTGCCCGTTTAAGGGCGCGTCGCTCAAAGCAAAAGTCCCATACAATTCTACAAAAAGAGCCGGCAAACCAAATGATAAGCCCGGTCTATCCCGGCTTACTTAAGCCGGAAGCTAAATTTTAAAATCGAACCGCCCAACCAGCGTCGGTGGCACCAATCCCAACTCCAAAGATCAGTCCGACGTCACTCAGACCATCGCATTTACTTGATTCCCTTGTCCCTACATACATCTCTCCTCTCAATAACCAAAAACCACCCTTACAAAATTGCTATTTCCCGTCAAACCTCCCACAAAAATCCTCTCCCCCGCGAACCCCGTCAAAGGCAGTAAATCGATCATTCACCAAAAATAAATAAAACCCGCAGATTTACCGTGCAGAGAAAGCTATATTGGTAAATACAGATTTTTAACAGCTATGCTAGGAAATAAACCATCTTAATAGGACTTCAATGCAAAAGTATCATTTCAATTTTCACTTGTGCGTAAGGAATAGAGCTCTGCAGTAGAGAGAGAGAGAGAGATAGAGAGAGAGAAGAGAGAGTTATACCAGGAGATGAGAAATGGCTCGGGGAGGCTATTATAGACGTTGATGATGAGATTATCGTTGGTTACAGCTTCAATCTGCGGCCCTGGGAATTGCCCATTGATCAATATCCCCTGCACACACCAAGATACAGAAACATCGAATCGAATCGAACACCTAATGAGAAATACATGGATCAGAGGGCAATCGAATAATAAGATTTGAAGCTTGCCTGCTGCTTCACGCCGAGGGGCCAAATATCGCCGTAGGTGACGTTCCAGGTAAAGAAGCGGTAGGGATCGTCGGCGGTCGAAGAACAGAGCAGCGATAAGAGGAAGATGAGAGAGGCCGCAAAGACTGTGGGTCTCCCCATTCTAACTTATCTCTTCTTCTTCGATTGGTCCCTCGCCTTCCTCGCTTTTTGGTTCTCACTGGATCTGAGAGAGAGAATGGGGACTAAAACCTAATTGGGGAAAGCTTCGCAGAATGGCCCAATGGCTGAATGGAAGAAGAGAGCCATATTTAAGACTGCTCACCACTGACGAGACAGAGAGGGAGAAATAAATGCGGAACAGCTAGCGGGTTTGGAGTGCTGTATTTTATCTGAGAGAGGGGGAGAGAAGGGAAGAGGAAGATGATGGTATGAGCTGTCAGGGTAAAAATGTAAAACTGTGAAAAGACATCGGTTCAGTTCTTAAACGCGGATTCGAGTCCGGTTCGATGGTCAACCGGATGGGGTCATGCGGTCTGACAAAAATGTTTTATGGTGAACCGGGATTGGTTCTCATCCTTTACCTTCTTTTACTGTCTCAGCTTTTAAAATTTTGAATTTGAACCGAGATTTGAACCGGAAAATAAACCGTGTATGATAATAAATATTATTTGAATATATTTTAATAGGATACACACTGAAATTTGAAATTAATAAAATTTATATTATGATTTATAAATAAATAAGTGAATAAGCTCATTTAATTGTTGGGCATGTTTGTTAATTAGTTTGCATAATAGTCAGAGTTTTTTCCTCATCTATGAGATTTTTAAAAAATATTTAAAAAATTAGTATATTTAAAATATTGTACTTAATGTTAATAATTTCAATTAGAAGCCGTGGATCACTAATTAATGATGATTAAAAATATGGCGAGTATATCATATAATTAATAATGATTCATCGGTGTTGGTCAAAACACCCATACCCATTCATCCGATCATTTTTGTTTTATAGCCATCATCCTCCACTACCAGTCTTTGACCTCCATCATCATTCTATCACTTTCCCTCTATCGCTATCATTTGATCATCATCACCCGGCTATTATCATCCGACTATTGTGGCTCAACTACTGTCATTTGTCTGTTGACATACAATCATCATTATCCAAAAACTATCACACTAACTTCATTATCCAATTATTATTGTTCAACTTATATCATTTAATCAACATTAATGTCTCGACTACCATCATACAATCATCATCTCTTGAGTGTCATCATCTAACCATCACTCAATTTCCCTCTTCGCTCTCACTATATCTACGATAGTCTTCAAATACTGAGCAAATGGTGAGTGTATTATTTTGTGATACCACCTCTTACAATTAAAAAGAGGAGCCAACTTCTTAAATCTCAACAAAACGTTCAATTCAACTTTAAATTTTGTTGAAATCAAACATCAAACATTGAATTTAATTTTAAAACTTTCTAGCTCCAATATTACCCACGCTTTGTGCTCTATTGAATGAATTTTCAAGAAACTTTTCAATGCAATTTTATCTTTATATTTTTTCATATTTTATTTTTAATAGAAAAAAAAAATATGCAATAAAACTTAAAAAATCAAAATTATTAACAAATTACTATTGCTTAACTTCATCAATAAATCCACATACAACTTTATGCATTAAACAAAACAAGAACTTAATTTAAGTACCCGTACCTACCACTTAAAAGTGCTTATCAAAGCTTCAAAGGAACGCAAGGCACATATGCCCACAAGTACCAATGCTTTCACTTTTAATATATTATATTGCCACCATGACATTACAAAACGAAAAAAATTAAAATAGCAAATTAGAGGGGAAGTTAGCCCACAGTTTTTCGGCACGTTCCGATATAACTTTTGGGACTTTTACATGCATACCACCCAATTTCCTTGTATTTACATAATCCACACATGTAAATTTCACTTTTTTGTATTTATGAAAGTTAAATGAGATAAATACATAAAAATTAGGTGCTATGTATGTAATTTTATTTTATTTTATCATTTATGACGTAGTGTGTAATGATACAGCGAGAAGGTCATGGCGATGATTGAGAAAATACTTGCTGTTAAAAAATTATAAAAAAAAATTCGAGAAAAAAATAATTGGGCTGTCAAAAAGATTTATTGTCCATGAATATAGTTGAATGTTTCAAATAATTTGTTAAATAAATGAGCAAAACATAAATAAAACTTTCGAGCCAAACAAGAACTACCCTATGTTCGATTATGTTTAGCTCATTTTAGCTCGACAGAAAGAAATTATATATATTATCTATATAATAATATGTTAGATTTTGTATCTTAAATTTAAACCATAGCACCTTCAATTGCACATAATTGATGCATATTCGATCCCAGCCCCTCCATCTATTTCTGTAATTAATTTAGCCAAGTTCGTGTTCGTGGAACATGAGCCAAGCTTGAACTTGCTCAAACCCGGCTATTTACTGCCCTAAAAAGTAGACCTTAAATAGACTCCAAAATATTAACACACTCCATATTGAATTCAACAGGAACATGTCCAAATTTACTGGAATCATAAAATCAATGTAAAAGCTACAAAAAGAAGGCTAATTTAATATGTATGCAAGGAGTCAGCAGTTGGTCAGCACTTCAGCTCCGGTTCTTGTAATCAGAATTGTATGCTCGAACTGAGCGGCGGGTCGGCCATCAGCTGTAAGTGTAGTCCACCCATCATCCCACGTGACACAATCAATACTACCCATGGTAAGAATTGGCTCTGCAAAAATAAAGGGTAATTTACATCCATACCACAACTCTTTTTGTATTTGCATATCTAATATCTAAATCTTCATATTTAGGTAATTAGCACTCAAACCTTTAACATCATATCAAATAAAAACACTTTCTAACAATTTAAAAGTGAAATAGACATCTTCCATGAGTAGAATTATAGCACCTATTTGTTAAAAAATGTAAATATCAAATTTTTGGTGGTGCTAGATAGGTAAATACATATGAATTGTGTGGCATGCATATAAATTTCCCAAGAAGTTAAATGTGTATGCCAGTCCAATACATTCAACCATCTAAGAATTAGACCCTATATTTTCAAAGATATCTTTCCAATCATTGATCAACCATAAAAATTTTCTAAGTTCATACATGAATATGATGTGGGAATGTAAGTTTAAATTTCACGATAGCTACAATGTATCATCTAAGAACCCAAATTATCACACCTTCACTTGAATAGCATCATTTATCAATTTATTATTGTACCAATTAATGTGTCCTATATTGAATAGACATGATGATAAAAACATAAGCTCAGAATAGCATCATTTATCAATTTATTATTGAATCAATTAATATGTCCTATAATTAATAGACATGATGATAAAATCATAATCTCGGATATGAATTTAACCAGAAAATACAATCAACCCTCACTCGCACACCGGATCCGCCGCCTTACAGGTTAATTCTGCATTTATTGTTTCATTTACTGCTTCTGTTTTGTTTCGTTTGTTGCTTATATGTTACTTCATTTACTGTTTGTGTTATTGTTTATGAAAAGTCGTCACTGTAATCGCCTTAAAATTCAGCAATAAAACTTGTCGCGCCTGAGTTGTGATTTGGGTTAACTCCAGAATGACAATATTTTGAGCAAATAGGCTGAATGCATTTTCCTTTGCTTTCATTCCAATAAATAGTAGTTTGTGCAATCTATTTTAGGTACATAATATTCAGCATAATCTAATTTAAATAACTTAATTAATACATATTCATAATCTAAATATTCAGCTAAAAAGGAGAGAATCCGTGCAAATATAATATTTCCTTTTTCGCAGTATTGCGAAGAAGGAAACTCTTTATTATATCTGATTTCTTTTATTCCTGATTGATATCCCCCTTCAAATTGATGCTGGCTGGTCAAGAAGCATCAATTTGTTGACAAGAAACTGTGTCGAGAAAGAGCTTTAGTAAATATATCAGCCGTTTGAAGATCAGAAGTGATATGAGGAAGAGATATAACACCCTCTTCATAGGCTTCTCGAATGGAATGACAGTCCACTTCAATGTGTTTCGTGCGTTCAAGAAAAACGGGATTAGTAACAATCTGGATAGCACTAGTATCATCTGCATGAAGAGAAGTAGAATCAAGCTGAGGAAAACCAAACTTAACCAGAATGCCACGAAGCCAAATGATTTCAAAACAAACAGAGGACATATCGCGATATTCTGATTCAGTAGATGACTTAGACACTCGATCTTGTTTCTTGCTCTTCCAAGAGAGTAAAGAGTTGCCGAGAAACATGCACCATCCAATAATAGATCGGCGCGTATCAGAACAACCAACCCAATCAGCATCACTATAGGTTGATAAGGTGATAGGAGACTTTGCAGAAAAAAACAAACCACGATAAGAAGTACCTTTCAAATATCGAATAATACGTCGAACTGTAGCTAAATGAAAATATGTAGGGGCTTGCATAAATTGACTAACTTGTTGTACAACAAATGAAATATCGGGACGCGCAACGGTCAGATAATTGAGACTGCCGACCAGTTGTCTATATAGAGATGGTTCAGATAGAAAATCACCATCATTCTGTTGATATTTAACATTTACCTCCAAAGGGGTATCAGTAGAGCAACCATCTTGAAGACCAACCAAAGCAATGAGTCCCTTCGTATAGTTGTGCTGATGAGAAAAATATCAGTGGAACCTCGAGTCCTAAGAAATAAGTTAATGACCCTAAATCTTTCATATGAAAAGAATCCTAAAGACGTTTCTGTAGCTGAGACATCAATTGATTATCAGATCCTGTGATGACAATATCATCAACATATATTAATAACAAAACAATTCCCTTGTTAGTCTTGCAAAGAAATAATGATGAATCATACTGGCTTTGAATAAAAGAGAAGCTAAGAAGGGTATTGTGAAACTTTTCAAACCAGGCCCGTGGAGCCTGTTTCAAACCGTGTAAGGACCGTTTGAGCTTACAAACATCATGTGAAGGTATATAAAATAAGCCTGGAGGAGGAATCATATAGACGTCTTCTTTGAGATCCCCATGTAAGAATGCATTCTTAACATCCATCTGCTTTAAGAACCAGCCTTTAGATGCAGCAATAGATAACACCAGTCGGACAGTTGTCATTTTAGCCACAGGTGCAAATGTTTCGTCATAATCAATCCTGTATTCCTGTCGATTGCCAAGAGCCATCAATCTTGCCTTATATCTGTCAAGAGAGTCATCAGATCAGAGTTTAAGAGAATAAACCCATTTACAACCAATGGGTTTAACACCTATAGGACATGAAAAAATATCTCATGCGTGATTGTCTTTAAGTGCCTGAAGTTCCTCTTTCATGGCTTTGACCCAGCAAGTTTGTTTAACAGCTTGAAAATAAGAGGTAGGAACAATAGTATTAGTTAAAAATGCAGAATACCCATATCTATCTGGAGAATGAATACGTCGGGTTGATCGTCGAATACTTAGTGGAGCAATTTCTGGATCAAGGTCGGGGAGGATTGAAGGTGAAGGGGGCAGACGTCATGTGTAGACAATGTCTGGCTTGAACCGTTTATCAGCAGAAGAATTATCAAATTGTGGAAGTATAACTGTATCTGATGTGGGCATATGATGTTGAAAGTAATATTCATGTTCAAAGAAAATCATATTTCGAGAAATATGTCATCGACTATTAATCGAATCATAACACACAAAACCTTTATGATTAGGACTGTACCCCATAAAGGCACATCGGACTAACTGTGCTGCCAATTTATGACGTTCATGAGCAAGTAGATGAACAAAACAAACACATCCAAAAATATGTAGCGTATGATAATTAGGGTTTTTATCAAAGACTCGATAGTAGGGAAACTCATACTTCAATTGTTGAGATGGTAAGCGATTAATGAGATAAACTGCAGTAGATAAAGCTTCAGTCCAAAATTTAGCTGGAATAGAAGATTCTATCAGTAATGTGCGCACGGTATCCAATAGATGTCGATTTGTTCGTTCAGCAACTCCATTTTGTTGCGGTGTATAAGGACATGAACGTTGTAAAACAATCTCTTTGTTCTGAAGAAATGCTTGAAACTCATGAAACATGTATTCACCGCCATTGTCAGAACGTAAGGTTTTAATGCGAGCGGAGAACTGAGTTTCAACATATGAAAAATGTTTGAAATACAGTAAATATTTCTGCTTTGGAACACAAAAAATATATCTAAGTAAATCAATTGTAATCATTAATAAATGTCACAAAATATCTATGTTGAGCATGTGAAATAACTGGTGTAATTCTAAAAAAAACACTATGAATAATGTCAAAATATTTATTGGCACGACTGCCTGAAATTGGAAAAGGTAATGTCTTGCTTTTTCCAAGTTTACAAACAGAACAATCAACTACTAAATTCTTATCTGTATAAAAAACACCACTTTTATGTAAATGTTTCAGCACCATATCATTTGGATGACCTAATCTTTTATGCTAGATGTCTGTCTTATTCTCAACAACTGAATATGCTAATGAAATATTCTGAGGAACAGTAAATTGTAATGGAAACAGTCTGCCCACTTTAGGCCCCTTCGCTATCACCTTCCCCGACACCTGACTCTGCACAAGACAACCATCACGAGAAAAATATACTTCACAGTTATTATCCACAATTTGACCAACATAGTAAGTTAGTAGATAATTTAGGAGAAACCAAAACATGTTTGAAGGATGAGTTAATATCACCAACTGTCGTAATTAGAATATTATTTCCATTAGCAACCTGAATATGTTGAGTACCAGTGTACAGTCGTTGGTTATGCAATAGCTCAGCTGTGCTGGTCATATGATTTGTGGCGCCTGAATCAACAAACCAAGGAGAAGTAACAGAAGAAATAATTTTACCTTTCTCTTAAAGGCCGAGCAGAAAATGCAGAGAGAATCATCTGTTGAACCATATAGGGTGTAACAGTTGATTAATTATTGTCAGTAATAGTAGAAGTCGAGGCAGGATTATCGGATACCGTGGCATGAAGTGCTTGTGGTTTGCGATTTTGGGGTCGTGTTGGGCACTCCGTAAGAGTATGTCCCTTTTGCTTGCAATAATTACATACTTTATTTTCACAATTCCGTGCAATATGACCAAATTTCTTGCAGCTGTAGCACTGTACTGGCCCTTTCCCTTTGGTCTTAGCAGCATATGCAACACTAATTATTTCTGATGATTTACCTGTTGTATTGATAGTAGCTTGTGCCGCAAATCTTTGTTCTTCAAGTTGTAATTGCCAAAACAAACATCCAAACATGGAACCAGATCTCTGTTCAGCAACCCAACTCCAGCAGTTTCAAATTCAGGTCTCAATTTCATTAAGAACTGATCACGACGACTTTCTTCATGAATGGTTTGAAGACTGGTTAAGTTCTCATTTGACACTAGCATAGATAATACCAGTATATTCGCTCAATAAATTTAAAAAATAAAAATAATATTGTTCGATTGAAAGATTACCCTGACTATAATTACTCATGTCAAGTTCCAATTGAAAGCGTTTCGCAGAATTATCTTGATTATAAACGCGCTTCAGGTATTCCCACATTTCTTTAGCTGTGTCAAAGGATCGTAAATTATTCAACATATGAGCCTCAATAGATCGCAAAATCCAGGAAACAATCCGTGCATCCTTTGCTTCCCATTGACCAAGATCTTTTGTCTCAGTAGTGGCTGGGGTAGATCCATCAATATGACCCCAAAGCTCATTCCCTTTTAAGAACATTCTGAGTTGAAATTCTCATGCGGCATAATTCTTTCCCGTAAATTTGATAACTAAAATTTCAAAAAACATTTTAAAATAAATAAAATTCAAATCCAAAGGCTAGGTCTTGACGATTGATCGAACGATCAGGAGAGATCGAGGCACGGTAGATGCGAAGAACTTCAGGCGAGGCACGACAGATGCAAAGATCGAGTGGATGCAGGAGCACGACAAGAACAAACGGGACGAACGCAGGAACGAGCGAGAGCGAACGCCAGATCGCGGCACGGAGATGTGACGAGCAGGCGAACGACAGGCGAGGCACGACAGATGCGAAGATCGTGGAGTGGATGCAGGAGCACGGGACAAATGCAGGAACAAGCGGGAGCGAACGACAGATCGCGACAGGTGACGAAAAGCGGCACAGATCGCGGTGACCGGCAGGTATCGCGGTGACGAGCGAGTGGAGATGTCCGAAGATGCCGCACCAGAGGAGAAGTCTAGAGATGTCCGCACCAGAGCGAGCGGAGATGTCCGGAGATGCCTCACCAGTCGTAAACTCAACACCAGAGATCCAATCGAAGGCGATCGGCTTGAAGCAGCTGTAGAACTCAAACAAAGCGGACGAAGATGCCGCAGAACTCAAAGACAAGAACGACCTCTCCGGTGAGGAAGCAGTCGAAGATGCCGGACAAAAATAACAAAAGCTAAAATTTCAAGTATTCAGGCTCCGATACCATGACAATATTTTGAGCAAATAGGCTGAATGCCTTTTCCTTTGCTTTCATTCCAATAAATAGTAGTTTGTACAATCTATTTTAGGTACATAATATTCAGCATAATCTAATTTAAGTAACTTAATTAATACATATTCATAATCTAAATATTCAGCTAAAAATGAGAGAATCCGTGCAAATATAATATTTCCTTCTTTGCAATATTGCGAATAAGGAAACTCTTTATTATATATGATTTCTTTTATTTCTGATTGATATAGTATTATTGTAACAGTGACGTTTTATCGTAGACATATCACACAAACCGTAACACAAAATGAAAATGGTGCTAGGAAAAGAGAAGTTTAAGCAGTTAATATTTAATTAGCAAACTTTTTCAAAGGTTCACAAGAGTCGTGAAGGTTATGACTAAACTTTTATATATATAAAAGAAGAATTTTGATCCTAAATAAACTTGCAAATATATCCCTCCGAAAAAAGTAACACCGGGAATATTTGGCCAATTGGGTGTATTATGAGGTCATTTAAAGTAAAATTTTTCATGATTTATCTAATCTTAGATAATTTATCTCAGGCTTAAATGTCGATTAAAATACATTTTTATTCATTCTAATAAGTTATGTATATTATTATCTATAAACTTGAAATATATTCTGACATAATAATTTAACTAGACCTGAACTAAACTAGATATATTATTTTTTTTTTCATCTGCTTAACATTCTAAGTAGAGAGTCATATATGGATGTGGTCGCTTTCATAATGTTATAATTTTATATCAATATTCATTTGCAACTTAATATAGATATTAAGTCCTGAACTAAACTAAATATGGACTTTTTTCATCTGCTTAACATTCTAATCAGACACTCACATGTGGATGCTACATCTTTCTTCGTGTTGTCATTGTACATCAATATTCATCAGTGACTTGATATAAACCACTCAAGTATGATTTGCATATCTCCATGGGTTTGCCTTCTAATTGATATATTTAGATTAAACTACATACTAAGTTGGAAACACTATTAGAAAGGCTATGAATTAATTGTTGAATCATGATTTATTTGTGGATTCACAACCCAAGGAATTGAAGAGGCGTTACACCATTATTCCTTATTACATCAATTTCTACCCTCATATAAGGGAACTTTTCCTAGTTTATATGCAAGAGTGACGATTACATTTAAATCCCTAGGGATCTCTAGTTGTTCTCGCTTATCTTATTCTGACATTTGCATATAATTAATATTATCTCTAACGTGCTATCATCTGACGAAACCGCATTTCAGCTTGTGTTCTCCGCGCACTCGTCGGGTCATATCTCTATCAATCTTTTTGGTCCCTAATGAGAGGTCGCCTTAAGATCAATCCAGCCTCGAAGTGAGTTGGTTGTTCACTAGTAGGACCAATCTAAGATTACAACATGGCTTCGGGCGACGTCTTTGAAAAGACCCCCACTTTGGATTTAACTTGTAGAGGGGAAGATCCATAAAATCGACACACGGTGGTTCATGTTCGATAACTCATACTCGGCAGCTCGTTCATCTCAGTTCGGCGGGTCAGGTGCCTTAATGCCTCATAAGCTTAGTATGACCACATTTCGGCCATACATTGATACTATTTATATAGCTATGATGCACTGAAAGTTAAGAATACTAAGCATGGTAAAGAAGCTATGCAAATGCATTTAAGCTTGTGTTGGCTTCGCCACTAAATTAAGTTGCAAAAATTTAAGTTTGCCACTATAAATATATTCCCGTGGTTTAAGCCTTCAGAGGCAAATGATTGTGTTATTGTAGTCGATATAATTGCTTAAATGGGCTATATATTTTGATTAATCAATTGTATAGGATAGTTTGGTGTTAGTCGCTTTGGGGTTCTACTTGTGATGAGTGGAGATTGATTTGGTGATCAGCGAGACAGAGCACCCGACGCCTATGCGCCGGGTTGTGGGCGCCCACTTGGGTGTTGCTCAAACAGAGAAGCCGGCGCCTACGAATCGGGTTTGGGCTCATATGCGCCCATATAGGCGCCTATTTCCCAAGAGCTTGGTGCATAAAAGCCAAGTTCGGGTGCCTATGCACCAGGAGCGGTTAGTCTCGAGATTTCTAGTTTTATTCTCAATTTCGAGCGGCGTAAGGTAGTGTTTGGTGTATCTTCGTTTGATATTCTTCGACGAGCATCCCAATGAAGGTGGGGAGTGTCGAAGATGTAGATTTCAATGATTATGTGTGATTTTTGCACCGGAGCGGAGATGAAAGATTGTGGAGCGAGTCATATAAGTTTTCTTAGTGTGGAGAGAAAACTTGTTTAAATTCCTTGTAAAACTTTCTGAATTTCATATTGAAAATTTTTAGTGGTGTGGTTCCGTAGTTTTTCTCTGTTCTTGGATTTTTCCAGGTAAATTTTCGTGTGTTTTTTTAGTTGTTTTGATTGTGCTTTTGTTTTAATTATTGTTCCAGTTTTTTTATCAAATTGGCGCAATCTCATTATTCCGCAGTGTGGTTTAGTTTTTAATTGATCCTCAACCTCGATAAAGTTGAAATTATTCGTAGTGTAATTCCTATAACTATTTAATAGATAAAATTGTAATAACCTTGACAAAAACCACATGGGAGTGAATGTAAATTGTCCTTGTCATGTCGTTTTGTTGGTATACTGCAATACTTTTTGGAAGATTTACATACATAGTGCATAATTCCTATGTATTTACATATCTAACACTAAACTTCAATTACACATACATGTCGCCTTATCTATGGATGAAAATGTGCATTTCATTTTTTTTTTTAAGTTAAAATGGTGGTATTTTTTATGTAATGTGAAAGATTTGCATGGTGCAAATATATAAATTATAAGTTTAGGTGTCAATTGGGCAGTACGTAACTAAATGCCCCAACTTTTTTTAATAATGGTAGAGCTAGCGTTACAACACATCATAAAATAAGCATGTAAAACACATACTTTTGTCGAATAATTTCCCCATAACGGCAAAGCAAAAAAAAACATAAACTCGTACCAATAGTGAAAGTTTGGCCTTCAACCATGGAACCTGATTTATCGTTACCTGTTAAACAAAAAGTAAAATCACGCTCATGATAGTTGATAAATAGCTGTGTAAAACTAATAAATCATCAAGGCAGTTAACAGCCTTAAGGTAAGCAAATTTGAAGTTTTGAAAAGCATTCAACAAATACTTACATTGCAAATAGAGGCCTCAGACAAAGAAACATTCACAAGCAATTTAGCAATATGAAACCCAAGAGAAGCATACCAAAAAGCTATAATATTTACAGGAAGTAATAACAAACCTCAAATACATTTTAAAAAACAAGGATAATGACTTCTAATGTCATATTTTACTGGTAAGAAATTTAAGAGAGAGGAGAGAGCGAGATATTTGTAGTGAACCTAACTCATATGAACCTATACCTCTCCTCGATTTTTTCTTGCCTTTGGTTTGTGTTGATGTTTAAGATTGCTTCACGTAAAATGCATCTTAATTACTTAACAATAGCAACTACGTATCCATCAAAGTGCATCACCAACATATTTTCAGAATAAACAACAAAAGGACACAAGGTGCTCCATTATGAATATATCTTTGCCCTGTAAATTGAAATCCAACACCTTACCAAATGGATATACTCGTTTGTAGGAATTATGTCCAAATCTATAACACTTTAGTCATTGGATATCCAATTCAGGCATAGTTTTTTTATTGTTCACAAGACTCAACGAACCTCTAAAAATGGTTCCTATAAAATCAATGTGTCCTCTAATATTTTAATAACTTCATTAGGTGTAATCTAATACTATTCTAGTTTATTCAGCTCTTAGATTCCTTCATTCAATTGCTTCCAATTCTTGGTTATATCCACCCACTCATTCGAATGTCAAATGTTGCTTATCGCTCATCTGGTGTCAGGTTGGTGAGCTACAGCAATTTTAAGTCTGTGATCTTCATTTGAGGCAATTTTCTTTGCAATCACTATTTTTGTGTATAGATATTTTGTAATAACTGAATAATAATAATAATAATAAATAAATAAATAAATGTGATCTTTTGTGTCAGTTTTTTTTTTTTTTTTTTTTTTTATCGACCCCAGTGATTTTTTTTTTTTTTTTTGTCATCGAATCCTAGGTATTCATCAGTGAACCATGGAGCTTTAGATCACCAAAATCATATTGCATATTAAATATGTATTTGAAATCATAAAATCTAACACATTCTACAACATACAATCTTTTGAGAATCAATTCTTCACTAGAAATTGAAATCATTCAAAATCGAGCGCATAGTTCACTATAAATCACTATAGTATAGCGTGAGCATTGCTTTGCACTTGCAACCTGAAGGCATAAATATCCGTTTTTATTGCATCTGTACATCACGCTTTGAAAGCTTGCAGAATAGCTTTCCAAAAACTGTCATACTAAAACTACAAGCTTGCAATTTACTTAATTCGGTACTGCTACATATTGCTAGATGGAACTGATATAGATAAGCAGGGCTTCCTTTTATTAAGAAAACAAAACAGGCAGATTAAGCAAATTGAGATTGATATAGACCTGAAATGTCAAGGAGATGATAATATCAAAGGCACAGCTGCAGCAAAATGCTTAACATCAAATAAGTTTAAAAATGAGCAAAGCTTTGAGCATTAAGAAAGGAGGAAGTTAAAAAAAGGAAAAAAGAAATTTATCCAGGACTCCGGGCGAAGATCACGAAGAGGGCGGAGATTTAGGTGAGAGTGGAAAAGGAGGTTAGGCAAAGAGGTTCAATTTTGGCTTATGCTTTTTAAAATGTGCTCAAAATTGAGTTAGATAAAAGAGGGAGACATACAGTGGCAGCAGCCAAGCCAGAGATCGACGCTATTCTTTAACAACCATTGCAGCATCGCACCATGCTTCAAATAAACTTCCAATAATGAAAGCTTCAAAATTTAATGAATATTTCGCCGGTGCGGGGCTAGTGGGCTAAACCAGGTGGGGACCTGCTGCTGCTGCACCGGTTCAGCGTGGTGGAGCAAGGGCCGGCTCGCCCTTGGTCTGGGCTAGGTTTGCTGGCCAAGGTAGGGGCCTCCCACCTCCTAGTTATCTGCTATATATATTTGTTATTTTTTGTTTTAGATTTAGTTTCGCTGTGAGATTTTTGTCAGAACAGTCGCCGGCGTTCCGTTTTCCCTTCTAGAGTTGTATCTAGCCGTAAACTATCTCGAAGTGGCGTGTATCTTTCCTTCTATTTCTTGTTTCCGACCTCTCCTGCTCGTTGCCATCCTCTTGCGCGCGCACACACCCTATTGCCACATACATCCCTGACCCCCTCTGTTTGCTGTCGCAATTCCTCCAATCTTCCCAGTTGCTACAGCCAACCCTCCAATCTCCTTGTCGGCAATTGTCAGCCTTCACCTAGCCTCCCTGTTGTTCTCGCCACCCCATCCCTGCCTTTCGGCTGCCGCCAAAACCTATTTCCAGCTCTCCTACCCAGCACCACCCTGCAATCCGACCCCAAACAGTCGTCCAACCGCCATCCACCATCCACGTCCTCGCCCGTGCCCTCGAGTGTCATTTATGTTTGTATTGTTATTTTTCTATTGTCAAGAATCTTTGTTTGTACCCTTTTGAATTTCAGCAATAATATTTGCATCTCCGTTGTAATTTGGGTTAACTTTAATTATCAATTAGTACTAGAGCCAGCCTAACTCTAATTCTATCCTAGTGTTTCCTAGCATCCGCTAAACCCAAACCACATCCACCAAAAAAGATTTCCATTATTATAGCCAAATATCATTTCCACTCCTACAAATCTCAAACCTTGACCATGCAATCGAGGAGATACATGCTCGAGCCTACACGAGAAAAGATACAGCGAGAGAATATTCGACTTCAGCAGAAGCATACAGACATTGATGACGGAACCTATGGGAAAATTACTTCCGATCGTGACCTGAAAAATCAAAGACATTAGTGGCAGACATCAAAAGGAGCATGCCTCAGGGAGTTGAGTATACAAGCCAAGATAAGTACAGAACCACTCAGAGTGAGAAGAAGCAAAAGACGAGCAGTATGCCCACTATAATCCTAGCCCAAAAATGCTTCAGATGCAATGGATTTCGGTACATCGCCTCTAGTTGCCTGACAAGTCAAGTTGTACCCTTGACCGAGCAAGCAACAAAGGAGGTCCGCAACGATGAGGCAACTGAAGAAAATGGTGAGGTGTAACTGATAGAGGGCGAGATGCTCGTGGTTTGACTGGTCCAACTGATTGAGGATACAAGAAAGCCAGAGGGCTTCGCCACAACATATTCTACATTTGTTGCACTGTGAACGGAAAGATATGCAGTCTCATCATGAAGATAGTTGCAAGAACGGTAAAAGATGGTTAAATTAAACATCTTGACTCAAAGACATTCTCAATCGTACTCTCTGACGTGTCTAAAGAGCAAGAGTCGGGGCCAGCATTGACAAGAATGCCTGGTGGAATTTTCGATTGACAGTCAACTACAGGATCAAGTATATTGTGAAGCGCTCATGGATGCCCGTCACCTGTTATTGGGAGGACGGTGACAATTCGACCGTAGGACTCAACACGATAGGTTCAGGAACACCCACTCCTTCACCAAGAATAGTAAAAGTATTATCCTTCTACCTTTTGCATAGTCCGAGATCACAGGTACCGATGCCAGTAGAGAAGCGTCGATGGAATCAATTTTGGTGGCGATAAAAGATATAGAACTGAGACACTGATTCCAATCACAGTTGATACTGGAAGAGGAAACCCAAACAACAAAAGAAGTAAAAATATTATTATTGAATTTTAAAGATTACAATAGGACTCGTCAATACAGGAAATAAACAACACAAACATAAAGACACAACACAAACTCAAGGGTTGTGAAAAGATAAAATGTATCTTCGGGGTCGAGCTGCAGCCGGAGCATCACCTGAACCGTTGGAGACTGTCACCACCTCAGAAGGGTTACAGCATAAGCATCTTCTCACCATCGGATACAGCCCCCGGAGGGGAGGAATACCTCAAAGGCAACACTCAAAAATCTGCACAAATCCAAAGCTCCTTTCCAAAGCAAAAATAGCTCCTATATATAAGAGAGATTAAGACTTATATTAGATAATGCTTTCAATTAGGAAATAGATTAAAAAGGTAGTCATGTAGTAGACAAGGATTTATAATTGGATTTCATGGAAAAGAAAATAAATAGAAAAAATAGGCATAAAATAGGTAGGAAATAAAATAGGAGAATGATAGAAAAGGAAACGAAGAGAGAACGAAAAGGAAAAGAGGAGGAAACTTGGGTCGCGGTACTGTAACAACTACAGTACCACATTTGCAACACCGTAGCTGCTACAGTATCGCGACCCAGAAAAAGCTCTCGCATCAACGGAACAATCACAATATAGAACATTTCGGGACATCACAATCAATACATTACCACCACAGCCACCACTGTTCGGAGAGGTTCGGGTTTCCCTCACTTTAGATCAAGTTGAGGCGACTTTGGACTACTTTGGGTGGATTATGTTGTATATGTGTGACACGCAAATTCAGTTCAATTCAATAGTGAACCCTCAGAACAGTGGATCAATTTGAATGTATACTCGCAAGTGGAGAAAACTTCTCCAGTATTTTGGAGGCGACGCAGTGAGGTATTTTCGAATGCCTCCCTATTGTTGCCGCCACCCCAGTCCTGCCTTCGAACTGCTGCCAAAACCCACTTCCAGCCCTCCTGCCCAATAACACCCTCCAATTCGACCACTATTGATTGTCCAACTGCCATGCACCACGCTCATCCTCGCTCTCCGGTGTCGCTTATGTTTGTGTTGTTATTTTTCTAATGTCAAGAATCTTCATATGTAATTCTTTTGAATTTCAACAATAATATTTACATTTCCGTTGTAATTTGGGTAAAATCCAGTCTCATTCACAACCAGAACCACTTCTCCAGCTTGTAGTTAATGTCTCCTAGTATTATAAATGCCGTGACAGTGTTTAATTAAAATCAAGCATTCTCACTGAAGCAACAGCGCTTACCAACAAGGATAAAATTTCATGTATATAATGAGAATTAGCTTTTTTTTTTTTTCTCTAAGAAAGGGATATCATTCAGCTAAAAGTGCTATGAATGCTAAAAAATTCTTATACTGTGATTTATTTTATTTCTAAGCTCACCTAGAATCTACTGATAGGCGCAAAACATCTAAAAAATAACTTTAACAATAAAATGAAGAGAACACTCACGAGTATGAATAACAATTGGTTCAGAATGAAACACAGTCCCAATGCCATGGCCAACAAACCGCTCCACCACACCATAGCCATACCTTTCAGCAATTTCGCTGGAATTGTTGAATAAAAAAAAATACAATCAAAATTTATATAGCATTTAAAAAAAAAAAACTAAGCTATAAGGATAAACTTGGGTTATAAGATTCCAAATTCCAGTGAACCGAATACTTTGTGAAGAACAGATCATGCCCAAATGATATGTAGCTTTTTCTATGTTGCAAGTATAGTTGAATTTAAATAAAAAATAGTAATGGCATGTAAAGCTCATAAATTTGTTTGCATCTTATCTGAACCATTCTACAAAACATCACTGTTCTGGAAAACATAAATGGTTCAAAATTGATGTGCAGAACCTGATAGCATGGCTCTAAGCCAATGTAGGTTTACCTCTAATCAACTAAAAATCAGTTATTTTCAAGTTTTGACTAGAGAATTTGGTTTGGATTGAAATTGAAAATCTAAATTTTGAGAAAAAACGAACTTATTCAAACCAGACTCGACATCAACCATTTGTTAAAGTGTGCATTGCCCCAAAGAGTATGTTATGACATGAAAAATTAAGCCATGGGTTGAATTGTCTGGATGGATGGTCTTACATGTACAAAACCTATGCAAATACCATACCTAATATGATGTTACATTAAGCATTTAAGTTTTTTAAACTATAATTTGAAGAAGAAAAAAGGTTATGACTCCAGATACACCCTCTTAAATTTCCAATTTAAACTTTCAAAGTTGATAGCAGGATGTTCACAAGTAAAGCAAAACTAATAAAAATCACCCATCATAATTCTCACAAAGTGATTGTAATGATTTTCTATTTATGTTCTTAGAAATATTAATGATTCTACAAATATAATATGTTGATACATACTAATAGCCACTTTTCATAGTTGAATTGTTTTGTTGTCATAGGAACTTGTAGCAAAGGGCTCGGATACTTTCTCTAGAGAAAGAGAATCATCCTAGGAGAAACAAAAGAAGCATCACGCATATAAACGATTGACAATATATATATATATATATATATATCTGTGTGTGTGTGTGTGTGTGTGTGTGTGGGAAAGATTTGCCCCACCGAACACTTGAAATATTTCAAAGAGCTCCTACAGATTGAGTTAGATGGGAAAGAACTGAATAACCGAATAGCCAAATAAAATATGATGCACTTCCAGCATTCAGCTTACTGTGATTGTTGAATGACACCTTGTTTGATTCTGGAATTGCCGTAATCACCTTGCTGGAATCGAATTCCTGCTTCTCGTTTGGACAGCCCAAGAAACTCCTGCTTCTTTTTGCTACAGCCGAATGGATCACCTTGCTGCCAAATGCCTGTAGCTTTTGCTGCAGCCGAATGGATCACCTTGCTGCCAAACGCCTGTAGCTGCAGTTATCCTCCTGGACTGCTCTTCCAAGATGTGAACACCCTGGAGCCGAACAAGATCCTGTAATTTTCTTTCCTGGTTGGCCAAAGAACCCCTGCAAGTTCCTGCAACCGGGACAGATAAAATGCAGGCCAAATACCCTGCAAGCTTCCAATAATACCTGCTGGTATTGAACCGTAGGAATAGAGAACAAAAGCCACAGCAAGAAACAGGAAAGCATAAAGAAAACTGCAGAAAAAGAAATGCTGGACAAGAACTCCAAGAATTTACGTGGTCGGTCCATAAGACCTATATTCACGAAAGGGAATGAACAACAAATCCACTAACACAATTCAGAAGAAATTACAAGATCTTTTACATTAGAGAAATGAACACACCTCTTGATCTCTCCCTCTCAAAATTACCTCGATACAAGATCTCAAGAATCTCCCATCAATTCTTGAAGCCTCTCCCATTCTTCTTATTGGACTGATTTTCTTTCTCTACTTCTTCTTGGTTCTTACCTCTCTACAAACCTCCATCATCTATTTATAACTAAATAAAGCCTCCCATGTAGACCCGGTTCACCAAATTAGAAGTTTCCATAGTTCTTTAATAGCTTCTATGGAATTACAAATTTGTCATTGTCTTAACTCCTTATTAAGTTCACTATGTCCAGACAGTATCTGAACTAAGCTGTAAGCAACACCTTAATGAGCATGTCAGCTGGATTTTCTTCAGTAGATATTTTCTCCACAACTATTGAACCCTTAGCGACAACATCCCTCACAAAATGAAGCTTTACATCTATATGCGTAGACTTTTCATGAAAAACCCGATTTCTGGTTAAGTGAATTATGCTTTGGTTATCGCATAATACAGTTACAACCTTCTGACATATGTCAAACTCTTCAGCCATGCCCTTTAGCCACATAGCCTCGTTAATTGCCAATGTCACAGCAATGTATTCGGCCTCTGTTGTTGAGAGTGCCACAACAGATTGAAGGTTGGACTTCTAGCTAACTGCAGTATCGAAGGCAGTGAAGATGAATCCAGTCAGTGACTTCCTGGTGTCAATGCTTCCTGCATAATCAGAGTCCATGTCAGGGGTTAGATTGAGGGAATCTTTATTACGGAGCTTTGTAATTAAGAGTCAAGCTCAAGAATTGTTATAATTGACTCACAATTAGCTAAGGCAATGACAAATTTGTAATTCCATAGAAGTTATTAAAGAACTATGGAAGCTTATAATTTGGTGAATCGGGCCTACATGGGAGGCCCCATTTAGTTATAAATAGATAAAAGAGGCTTGTAGAGAGGTAAGAACCAAGAAGGAGAAGATGAAAAAAATCAGTTCAAGAAGAAGAAGGGAAGAGACTTCAAAGAATTGAGGGGAGAGACTTGAGATCTTGTATCGAGATAATTTTGAGAGGGAGGGATTAAGAGGTATGTTTATTCCTCTAATGTAAAAGGCTTTGTAATTTTTTCTGAATTGTTTTAGTGGATTTGCTGTTGATTCATTCCCGTGGATGTAGGTCATATGGACCGAACCTGTAAATTCTTGGTGTTCTTGTGTTCTTGCCTTGCATTTCTTTTTCTGTAGTTTTCTTTCTGCTTTCCCGTTTCTTGTTGTGGCTTTTGTTCTCTACTCTTTCTACGGTCCAATGCTAGCAGGTATTATTGGAAGCTTGCATGGTATTTGGCCTGCATTTTATCTGTCCTGATTGCAAGAACTTGCAGGGGTTCTTTGGCCAGCTGGAAAAGAAAATTACATGATCTTGTTTGGCTCCAGATGTTCGCATCTTGGAAGAGCAGCCCAGGAGGATAACTGCAGCTACAGGCGTTTGGCAGCAAGGTGATCCATTCGGCTACAGCAAAAGAAGCAAGTGTTTCTGGCTACAGCCACAAGGAGTTCGGTATTTTGTACAGGGCTAATCCTCAGCTACCAAGAAACAAAGTCTAGCATTCCTTTCCTTCGGTTGTAGCAAGGAGGTCAGCAGTCTTGAAGGTGTTCGAAATTCTTGAGCTTGGGAGGATCGAAGCTGTGAGGGAGATAACGTCCATTTTGTCCAAAGTCTTTGAGCTGTTCCACAGTCCTGCAGGTGTTCGACTCTCAAGCAACCTGCAGGTATCCAAGATCAGGAGGAATTCGACATTCCTTCTCCTGTACAGCAAGTTGATTTCTCGGCTATCTAGAAGTTATTCGAAGAACAGCATATATATATATATATATTGAAAGCCCAAAGAGGCTAATATATTAACTAGAAATAAAGATACAGATACAATGTGTTGGAGGGCCCAAACATGACACCTTGCCCACACCATAACCACAAGTGGTTCCAAAATTAGGAAATATAGAAAAATACATTATAGACATAAAAAAAAAGCCAAAAAATGCTGAAATATATAGTATCAGGTGGTTAGAGAGCAACCCAATTTGGTTGTCTCTGCCTCTGGTTCTAGGGAAGGAGCAAACTAATAGATTGGTAAGATGATTGTGATTGGTAAGATGATAAGATGATTGTCATTGCCAGTATTAACCAATGTATCATCCAATATATTCGCGAGCTGGAGTCGGCCTCCATTCTTCATCTTCCTCTTGGAATAGACCTATCATTCCTCTTCCGAAGATTGGTTCACCTGATCTTGGTCTAAAGTGTGTTGGAGATGTGCAGGTTGTTGAACATTAGAAGCAACTACATGTTGTACCGGCTGATATGTTATTGGATCAAAGAAACACTCTCGTGTGTCTTGGCATGTAAGCGAGTCTTCTTCAATAACAGTGGGTGGTATAAGCACAACTGGATCTGTAGTTGTAGTATGTTGTTCTTTTTCAGGAACTACGATATTGGGAAGAGGATCGGGTTGCATCTTCTCAATAGGGATAATAGATGGTTGTTCTTTGGCGATATTTGGCCTTAGAAGAGGATATAAATGATAGCAAATAGTAGAGTTGTGGTCAAACATACTACAATGAGAGCAATAAGGAGGGTGTGGTTCTATTTCAACCTTTTGCCAATACCCGTTGTGAGTGATTCCAATTTATACATCATCCGGAGTTGGTTAAGTGATATTTCTCTCAACTAACACACAAGACAGAGAGTTTGGTGACAGCAAACGTAGGACTATCATCCCTGAGAGGCTTACCGTAAGCAGTGTCTAAGGAGTAGAGAATTTCCAAGTTGAACAGATGTAATTTTAACCCCAAAAATTTTATCCAAACTAGAATGAGAGGGTACTCAGCTTTTAGGTCAAAATCAATAGTCCACTTCAGAATTTTCATATAACGATTGTCGATCCTGATAAATTTTCGAGAAAAGATTCGAGTATAATCGACATCATGAGACAACTGAATCAGTATGTGCCGACCGTCAAGTAAATCAATATTCCAACTGTCCAATAGTTTCATAGTCTCAAACTCTTTCCGAATGATCTCCAGTTTTGGGTGATCATAAACAAATTTCCTCACTAGAACAAAACGTCAAGAAGACGAGAGAGTACTAGTTTCGACCTCTGCGAGAATAAGAGCAGACTTCCCATTTTTTCCCAATTTTTTTATGAAGGTGTTATCACCACCACCTTCAAGAGCATCGTGAAAAGATTGTGGAATATTGCAGGACTTGCCAATATGAAAATCAGACTCTGAACCTGAAATAAGAGCACGAGTTGGAAAAGGAATGTCGTCGGCAAGTGCAGTGGCATAGAAACGGATCGTGGATGCCATCTCTAAAGCAGCTAGGCAAATCGCTAAAAATAGACGAGCAAACTTCAAAAGTAGTAAAGCTGCAAGCTGACCAAAGAAAAATATGTTGAGATTTTCATACATATTTTATACTAATATTGATGATATTGCACTTTAAATAAGGGTATTTTTTATTTTTTGTTGCAGGTATGTTGAATTATGGTCATTGGAGCAAAAAGATGCAAAAAAAGTGCGAATTTGAAGCAAAAATGACCAAAATATGAAGATTTGAACTAGGGCGCTGACGGCGAGCCCAACGACGCCGACGATGCCCTCGAGGCCGCCGACGGCGAGATCAGCGGTTATCTCAACATCTGCATTGAATGTGGATGATTTTTAGAGGATGTTTAGGCAACTCTTGTGAAAACTCTTCCACAACTTTAAGAGAAACTTTTGGCCAAAAATTGAGTAGTGGGGGGAGGAAGTTGTAGAGAGTGTAGAGAGTCCGGTAGAGTGTAGATAATTTAATTTAGGGTTAGATTGTGAGGAATTCTTCGAGAAATTGTAAAGTGGAGGGAAAGTGAGATTTTTTCCTCCTTGCCGCTTCGACGAAGAATTTTGTGTACTATAAATAAAGGAAGAGAATCAGAGGAACTTCGAAAAGTTTGCTTGGGGAGGAATTAGAGATAAGTGATATTTATTTATTATAGTTTGTATGACTTTGTTTTTATGTATAATTCCGAGTTTTGTCGTATCTTCCCCATGAGTTCTGAGTAGTTTTTTCTGTCTCTCCTTGTCTTGAGATTTTGTGAAATAGTGATTTGAATTGGTCGAGCCTTGAGAATGTTAAAGAAGTTGTAATGATCTTTTCACTTTGATTTTAATTTACTTTCAATCTAGTCAATTGATTTGTTAAAATATATTGAGTTTTACAACTAAAGTGAAGATTACATCCAAAATTCAGGGAGGTCAAAGTCCTTGAAAGTTGGGTGCAAATAAATAGGGAAATAAAATTATCGGGCGTAGAATTAAATAAATGGGGAAATAAAATTATCGGAAGTAGAATTAGAGATTTTAGAGTGACAGAATAAAATCATCGATTCGGTTCTATCGTTTGGGTGTTAAAGTATAGATGTTAGCCCTCACGCGAGGGGAACGTTGGAGCTCCGAAGTGAGAGCCGGTATCCTCCCAGCCTAGCCGCAGATTCAGCAACCAAGCATAGGCTTAGTCAATGTTCTTTATGCATGAATTAAATGGTAAAGAATATGTATGCTCCTATTTGGCACAATCCAATTCGAACTAATTCACTTTATCCATTCACTTTAATTTCTTGACAAGGAGAATGATGTTTTTTTATATATTGAACTTCACATTAGAAACTTTATTAGTAAAAATTAGTTATTTAAGAGTTAATAAAATTACATATTTATTTTAATTGTCTATTAGTGACAGATAAACAATTTGAACTATATTGTTGTGATTAAGTATTGATTTTCTAAAATCTTAGTTCGTAGCCTCTAATATTACTCATTGTGGGATCGATATTCAGGACTCCATTAAAGCCATGTATTACTTGAGTGATACGTATAATTGCGTTGATAAGTGTGACTTTGCAATTATTGAATATTTAATACACCTCTTTATCGAATCTATAACAGCTGTCAAGTTTTTGGCACCGTTGCCGGAGAATTAAACGGATAAATTTAGGTAAATTAAATAGTTTTGATAAATTAAGAAAGTTAGAGATAATATATAGCTGTCACAAGCCGTCGACTGCGAGTGAGAGACGCGAGCCGAGTTGGAAATGTCTATCGGGCAGAGCGACAGAGAAAGAGAGACGATGCAAGCCATCCACTGCGGGTGAACGCGAGTCGTCGACTGGAGGGTGAGAGCGCAGAGCGCAGTCGTGGACTCGTCGACTGGATCTGGATGACAACTGCGAGAGTGTGAAACTTCGTCTCGCGGGAGACGACCGAGAGAAATGAGAAATTAATGAATCACCGTAGGGAATCGCCATCGAGGAGCTAAACCCTAGCAGACACCGATGCCACTGCCGACGCGATTTTATATATATATATATATACAGACAACTAAATTTACATGATATGGTCAAGAATGACTCTATAAGTTTGAAGTACAAAATAAGTGTAACAAATATATAATAAATCCTATTTCACATAAATATTATAAAGATGAGAGTGGATAAGTGATCACAAAATCTTAGAGAAACCAAAAAAAAAGGAAAATTTCCTAGGTCGCCTAATCTCCATGACATGAAAACAAAGAATCGCCTCTTTCCTTCAATCAATCTCGAAAGCCCAAATCCTTATATTCAAAAAGCTCTTGATTGCTCGGTTGCTCGCTAGAATAAGAAGTCCTATAATCTCTCTCTATTGTAACTCAAATAGGATCATCAAATGAACCTTTCCCACTTGTTTATATATTTAATTATTCTCCAATCTCTTCAAAGAGGTACAATCACTTTGCTACTCAACATATTTGCATACACAAGAAGTCGTCAGAGCAATGAGAAATAGAACTAAGAATTATATTAATTGAGAAAATTTAAGGAGAATTGATTGAGTATTAAATTCTAAGATTTATGTGATATTTATATAATCCTACAAGAGCTTCTAATAAAGTAATCCTAATAAGTTAAGAAACAATAAATGAAATAGCTCATAAAAATATGAGCAAGCAGAATAATAATTACAGAAGAGTTATAATAATCTAATAGATTGATAAGTAAATAGTTCAAATACCACGAAATAATGAGATGATAGTGCAAGCAAAAAAGGAAGGGGATTAAAATAGGGGTGATTATCATTCCCAAAGACGGAAATCAAAGCAAACATTTAAGACCACCTCACTTAAACAAAGAAATGGTTATTATCCATTTCAACCTTGCAAGATAATTTATAAATGATTGCCCCTAAAAATCCTTTAGTCATTATATTTGCAACAAATAACTGCTGTATATAAATTTTAAAGAGCCCATAGAAGCTTTGTTGTCTTTCTATGCCTTCTAAATGGCCCAATCTTCTTCTTTCTTTAAAACCTGTGAACTAACCTCAACAATCTTAAGATAGTTCTTTAAATTCAACTGATATATTGAATGGATATTTTGCAACTCTCATCAAATTTACACTACATAATTCAATTATAAGAGAACTAAAGACAAAGAATGTGTGGGTATTATTATTATTACCGTGCATGTAGAGGACACTGGTTCTTCACCAAAAAAAAAAATGAACAGGAAAACATCAGTGCAACAAAAAAGGTTGCAACCAGGAAACAGTTTGAGGTAATGCAAAGTTGAAAGCTACAACAATGGGAAATATTTGCAGTGATGCAATAATGAGGGATACAAATATACAAAAATAGGAGAAAAAAACAAACTGTGTAATGAAGACCGCAAGATTGTGGCAATAGAAAAGTGAAAGTTGAAATAATGGAAACATAAGAAGAAAAAGCCTAGGGCTCAATACCATGAGAAAAATTGAGGAGAACAGATTGACTATTTCAATATTTATATAACATTTATGTAATCCCATGAGAAATTCTAATCAGAATTATGCAAACGTTTTACAATATTAATAATCAAAACGCCCATGTCTGCATAGGCTTATGTTATTGATACTATAATAAACCTATTGTAATGATATCCATTGTATAAACAATCCAACAGAAGAACAATTTAAATATTTTAAAAAGTATGTATTCAGCATGAAGCCAGTTAGAGAATATGTGCATGTGTGTGGATTTTCTTCAATCATCTCATTGATACACCACAAAGAGCTAGAAACCAACAATTTGACATAGAAAAGAATTATTTGATAACAATGGAATAACTAGGTTAAATGCTACATCCAGTAGAAACAATTTCTGATTATAGTTACAATAATCTAAAAATATGCAGAAAAGACCTCATACCAATGTTTTTAAAAGTGCGCTTCACAAGCAAAGCGCGTAACAACCGCTTCATTTCTCCGAAGTGCGCTACGAAGCGCTGAAGTTAATTTGTAGGGGTATTGCAACAAACAATTAGAAATTATTTGAAATTTTAATTTATAGGATCAACATCAATGTTTGCCTTCAAGTTAAGTATTGTACCATAATTTTTTTTATTTTATACCAACTTTTAAGTCATACAATATATTTTATAATTGTCTATGAATGTAATTAAATATTAATAATTTTATATAGCCTATCAGCACTTTGGTTAATAAAAGCACTGCTTCGCTCTGCACTTAGTGCTTTTGATAATATTGCTTTATACTTGCCAATGTCATCATATACTGCCTAAGAAGGTCAAATACCTTATTCTCTTTCCAATCTTTTTAAAGCTAGTACCATCTTTGCAAACAGCAATTGCCCTTTCCAAGCATTCTTCTGTCACCTAGACAAACAATTAAAAAGGAAATTCATAGCTATGCCAAGCATTACCTTTTTGGCTACAAATTCAAATAAAAATAATAATGATTGACTTCTTCATTAATGGAGAAAGAAAAATATGCAAATATCTTAGGATGACAAGTTGCATGATTTAAAAAATAATTCAGTGTAATAAATCAATCATATGTGCATTGCATAGCTAAATCATACATAGGAGAAAAGGACAGGATCTGCGACCTCAAGCAAATTTACAGACCACTTAGGATTACACTAGTGAAAATGCCAAGCCAGTGAAAGAGATTGGTCGTACATCTAGTTAGTTTCTTGATAATTTTTAACTCAACTAGACAACATTTTAATTATATCACATGAATTACGACAATGTAAGGCTTAAAAGCAGACATTATATGGGCTCAAAGTATGAAAATTCAACAGCCACTCATGCTATTATTATGATAGACCAATCTCACAACTTCTCATATAAATAAATATGCTATTATAATCCCGATTTCATGGTAGTCTCTATTCAAATTAGTTATCGTTATCTGACCATCATAATCTTGCACAGTTGCACCCAGCATTTGAAGAAAACATCATACTTAACAGTCACCATGTCATGGAAGCCTCCAACTTGTCATGGCAATAAATACACTGGGCACACTCACAAATTTGTCTTTTCATGTCGGAACATGTTCCAGTTCTATTTATTCAAATGACACCAACCTAAATCACCTATGTGGAGGTGTTGTGGTTTCTGTGACGGAAAAGGGGAGACAGAATCATAGTGATTGTACAACTACCTTTTATCCCAAGCTATCATCAAGATCTTCAAATCGAATCCTGATTAAAACAAATTTATGTGTATGTGTGCACGCGCACGGAAATAAATATTTTTTAAAGAAGGGAGATTTTCATAAATAATAAAGAATTCCTACGTATTTACATATCTAACGCGTAAAGTTTGATGTTTAGTTATATAACACTATAATGCTGTAATCACATCAAGACGTGTGCATTAAAAAGTGTGTTTTATTTTTTAAAAAATTATTATTATTAATTTTTTTTATGTGAGATTAAAAGTATGAGTATTTTCAATAAATATTAAAGTTTAGGCATTCAATGTAAATATATAAAAATAGTGTGGTATGTAAATCCCATCTAAAAATAAAACCTCATTCTATTAAAATTTACAAAAAAGGGGGAATAGTACACTATATTCGATAGTTCATCTCATCTCAAGTCCCATCCACTTAGAAAAAAAGATAAATTGAAAAAAAAAACCTAAAGTTACCCACATCTCCGCTCAATCCCGCAAAAGTCATCCCCGTCTGCATGCCTCAACAACACCTTTTTCTCCTCAGTCCCACCCTCCTTCCTCACACAAAACCACACGAGACAAAATCGGGATGTGTGATAGGCAGAGTACTTTGCCCACAAGTATTGCATATCTTCCTTTGTCTATTAGACTGCTTTTTTCACTTTTGTTCTGACATTGTTGAAATTCATAGGTGTGTCGGCAAACTTACAACCAGTCATGTCAATTTCACTTATTAGGTTTAAGATGCACTCACTTTAGCATATGACAATTCCCACTTTAGACTGAGTCACCTCCATTCCAATAAAATATCAGAGATTCCGAAGATCCTTGATCTCAAATTATGTTGCAAGCATCCTTTCTAGTCTGTTAATTCTCTTCAAATGATCATATGTCAATATAATATCGCCTACATATATTATGAGAATAGCAACCTTGCCTCTAAGATTGAATTTAACATAATATAATCAGCTTAACGCTGATAATATCAATTTGTAAACACTATTTTACTAAACCTGCCAAACCAAATATGAGGATATTGCTTCAAGCCATATAACTTCTTCAACTTGCAAACCAACCTGTTGTTCGACCTATTTTCAAGCCTAAATATATAGTCATGTAGATTTCTTCATCGAAGTCACCATTCAAGAATGCATTTTGGACATCAACTTGGTATAAAGGCCAATCTTGATTTACTATAGACCCCAAACCGTATTAAGTTTGGTAACGGGTGCAAAGTTTTCCCGATAGTCAATCCCATATGACCGTGTGAAGCTCTTGACAACCAATCTTGGGTTTGAATCTCCCTATATTTTCATCCCCCTTGTATTTGATCATGAATATTCATTGACATCCAGCAGAAATTTTTCCATGAGATAACTCTATAAGTGTCCATGTGTTGTTTTTTCTACATCCCAAATTTCTTCCTCAACTATTAGTTTTCATGTTGAAACCTTTAAAATCTCTTGGCCAGAGTCGGAAACTTGCACACTATCAAGATTTGTCACAAAAGCCCTATAAGATGGTAACAACTTCCCAAAAGCTACATATCTTTAAATTGGATGATCAATGCACCCTCGGATACCTTTCCTGTGTGCAATTGGTTGAGCAATCATTATTATAAGAGAGTCATGAATTGAGGAATCCATACAATTAAAATTATCAGATGAAGGACTTGGTTCTGGCTCCTAACAATCTTAGGTATGGATAGTTTCTTCTATATGATCGGTGGTTATTCTTCTGGTATAGACACAGTTCCTAATCATTGGTGTCATGTTGAGATGGAGTAGAGAAAATTGAGATTGTTTTTGTGACAATGTTTGGTTCTTTAAGTAGAGCTAGTTGAGGGATAAAATTTGATTCAGTTGAAGAAAAAATGGACCGAGTATCTTGAAAAAAAATTCCAAATCTGATATTCCCCCGAATTCTCCACCTAAATTTTAGATTTGGGAAAATAAGATTGATCTTCCAAAAATCTGTATCAATGGAGTTGTATATTTTTCGAGTAGTTGGATAATAGCATTTGTACCCTTTTTAATTGGGGGAGCAACCAAGAAAATGCATTTAAGAGAATTAGGACCAAGTTTGGAGCGGTGTCGTCGATGGATGTGAACAAAGGCAGAACAACAAAAAATCTTCAATGATAAGTCAAAACAAAGAGAACGGGTGTGTGGTTAGTATTCCATGAGATCACGATAGAGAATTTGCTCTTTTAGGATTTGATTATGCACCTTATTAAAGAGATGTGCTTGTGAGCTTGGCTTCCCCAAAAAAATGTTTAGGCACGTGATTAAAGAACAAAATGGTATGAGTCACCTCAAATAAAAATATATTTCTTTCTCAACAGCTCTATTTTATCGAAGAGTATCCACACAGAAACCTACATGAATAATATCATGCTTGAAAAGATAAGGATCAAAAATAGAATTAAAATATTTCTTAACATTATCAGTTTTAAGAATTTGATTTTGCTTTAAAATTGAGTGATGAACATGAAATAAAAGGGTTGAAATATGGTAGATGTTTCGGATATTTCTTTTATAAGGAATGTCCATGTTGTTCTTGTGTGACCATCTATGAATGATACAAGCCATCATGCCCTATATATATTGTCCATCTGTGAGGGTCAGCAAATATGACTATGAATTAAATAATAAAGATGTGCAGGCCTATACTGCAGTTTAGGGTATACATGCTTTGTATATGTAGCAAGTTGGCAAATTTTGCACTGAAAAAAAATTGAGTTTTCTAGTGATAAATAAATGTGGATACATCTTTTTCATATACACAATTTGAATAACCAAAGCGACAATGACTCAACATGACTTGACATCTAACTGAAATTACATCAACAGAATTTGAACTAGACTCAGAAATACAACTGAACGGATGATCTTGCCTATCAATAGAGTTATTTTTGTTGAACAAGTATAAACCATTACGCATCTCGGAGCTACCAATCACCTTCCTTGAATCTACAAACTAAAAATCACCACAATTGGAATATATTTTAATCGCACGTTTTAGATCATGAGTAAGTTTATTGATTAAGAGTAGATTGGAGTTTAATTTCGGAACATAAAGAACAATAGAAATGTATATCTTTTGTCAATTCGATTGATACAGTTTCTGCTACTAGTGAGAGTGAACGATCAATTATTTGAACTGCAGAATGACTGATAAATGACTTGAAATATTTGAAGATTTTGATATCTCCTGTCATATGATATGTGGTTCCTGAGTCAACTATCCAAGATTTTAATTTATTTCTTTGGACATTAAAAAAAGAAGATTGTGATGCTCGTCCTGAATTGGAACTAAACATTCTCTGTAGTGCTTCAATTTCCTCCCTAATAAACAAGCTTAATTTTTAATTATTGTTGATTGTGATAGCTACATTTGCACAATTTTTTACATCATATTTTTTATTAGTTGGCGTCCCATCTATAGGTTTGTCATGTAATTTCCAACAATTTTCCTTCACATGAACAAGTTTCTTACAATGGTCACACAATGACCATCCTTTGCTAGGCATGTTATTCTGAGAGGAATTTTGAGTGTATACGATTGATCATTCAACAGATGTTATTGCATGATTGACTGTTTGTCATCATTAACTTCTTTCTACTCTCCTACGTTCAAACTTTTGCAAAGGTCTCTGGAATGGTAAGGATGAGTTTAATTCCCATAATTCTCCCTCTGACTTCATCTAGGTCTTTATTGAGGCCAAAGGGGATCTTATGGTTCTTTTTTGTTAGTAATTTTTCTACATAAAGCAAAATCATCAGGGCATTCCCAAGAGTAATCTCATACATGTCCAATTATAGCCAACAACATGTGAGAATGTTAAAATATTGAATAACACTCAATTATCCTTGTCGTAAATCATCTAATATGATTTCAATCTCAAATAATTCTGAAGAATTTTTGGTGCTAGAAGAGATGTCATGTGCAACCTCCCATATCTCCTTAGTGTCCTATAGAGCAAAAAGTTTTCCCCAACCTTCGTGGTCAAGGAATTTATTAACCATGCAAGTGATCGTCAATTTTCTAGGCCCGATATTTGGAATTTATCACTTATGGAGCAGAGATTTGGCTTATGAGATGTCCATCATTCCCTCTCCTGCAGAAGTACATATAGATTGGATGTGAGTATTGAAAAAAATTATGGTCTTGTCATTATGGCTCATGACAAGATGAGAAGAGTTATTAGGCGCACTAGGGACTGATGATGCACGCTCAAACCTCGAGGTAACTACTAAGAAAAAAGAATGTGAGGCCACGTTGTGTTTGTCTGTGATAAGATTATAAATCCTAATCGAGAAGACCTACTACTGGGCAAAATTGAGAGGACTCTTAGTTCGACTGCTCAACTGGACGAGCGAACATGAACTATAGGGAGGTGCACAACTCTCAATTTTGACGCATTCATTGCTCGGCAAGAGGTGGTCGGGCCAGCAACACGTGAGAAAACGGCTAAGGCAAATAGAATAATTCGCCGCTTCCACGAATCGAAGAGCAAGAATCCTCGTTTCTATCAACCCCTCTTGGATCTAAGAAAAAAAAGAGGATTAACACACGTTAACCAAAAAAATTGCTATCACGAGAGGTCGCAGGAAACAAACAGATGAAATCAAACATTTTGTGGAAATTGAACAAAACGTTTGAATGGAGCATTCAGACGAAGCATTCGATCTGTTTGAACATTTCTGAGATCCGTTCACAGGGAAGATCTATTCGAACAAAAGAGACAAGGGAGAGTTGCATCTCGAAACGCTATCACCTTCGCTTTAAGCAGAACAATGGAAGTTGCGATCGAAGAAAGCTAGAGATGGTTTGACAGGAGTAGCACCTTGTGTGCCCGAAAGAGATGAGGCAGTTAATGGTTTTTGTTAGTGCGTATGAAGAAGACGGAACAAAAAGGAATTAAGTTTGTGGATCTTATATCATGTAGAAATCAGGTTAAAGATTTTTAATTTTTGCTCACTCAATGCATTACACCTTATAACATATATATATGTATATATATATATATATATA